CTCCTGTTGTTCGGTCCCTGCTCCTGCCAACCTAGCAGTTCGAAGGCACGTCAAAGTGCAAATAGATAGTAGGTACTGCTCCGGGGGGAAGGTAAATGGCATTTCTGTGCACTGCTCTGGTTCGCCAGAAGCGGCTTAGTCATGCTAGCCACATGACCCAGAAGCTGTATGCAGACTCCCTCGGCCAGTAAAGCGAAATGAGCACCACAACCCCAGAGTCGTCTGCGACTGGACCTAACGGCCAGGGGTCCCTTTACCCTTTACCCTTTACCTCCTGAAGAGTATTTTTATGTGGGTAGAAGTTTCTCTGAAATTGCCTTGAGAGCAACACTGCATCATGTCGCATCCCTCCCAAGGCATTCTGGGAAGTGTGGCCAAAAGAAGCAGGGTCTTTTCACAAAGGTCTTTCCACAGCTTCCCACTAGGCATATTTTGGTCAGAAGCCCACTCTGGTTAGGCAACAATTCCCTCCTCAAAATTTCAGATGATTCTCTTCTTCAAGAAAAAACACCAGAAATATCAGCCCCTGTTTTCTCAGGATAATAATATTTTCAGGCAAATGTGAGGAGGATTCTATCAGAATAGGTCACCAAACGTTTATTTTAAACCTAACCTTTTAGGAAAAGCAAGGCTTCCATCACAGTACACTAGGCTGCATTTATTGTAGTCAAGAGAGACAGTTTACCACACACAACACACACACAGTATAATTTAGAGGTCTGGTCTTTCCGGTCTTACCTGCTTTTATAAAATATTTTTGCCTCCACGTGCCTTTGATCTCGACTCAAGTTGCTCTTTGTTGTAGGTTTTTATTCAGGGTTGCCAAACTGAAGTAGAGCACATTTTCTTCCCGCAAAAGCTTCCAGCTGTTTGATGAAGCTGTCAAAAAGCAAGGGAGACTAGCAATCTCTAGGACACCAGGGATCAGGCAATAGCTGGTATTACAGTAGAAATAGACAACTATTTGAAGTAGGGTGCCTGTATCACCTCCCACCTGCTTGCTCTTAAAGCAACACCGTCCATTTAGGGAAATTTCCACGCAGCTTTCCATCTGCTCCTGCTCTGTTTGCTTCCCACAGTTTGGGCGAAATACAAACTGGACGAGGTGGCTTTGCACCCCTCAGAGGTTTTACGAGAAGGACAAATGAGTCATTGGTACATTCTCGTTAAAGCCATTTACATTGGAGGTGGCGGGGATGCTGCTATAATTAATGTCGTGCTGTGTCTGCCGAGCCAATTACTTTTCAGGAGCTGTAAAGACAACTGCTGAATTTGCTGGACCCTGGATTTGCCTGTGATTCGGTTTCAGATTTCTAACTGAAAATTGCACGCATCTTTAGCATTGCCAACTTTTCAACTGATTACTGTTTTATTGATTTCAATAACAAAATCCCAACTTACTCCCCTCCTCCCTCTGGCACGGATCAGTCTATTTAAACTTGCCAAAGTCCAGTCTTTAACTGCATCTTGAAATGTAGACATTTAGCTGGTGATCATGTTTATTATTGTGTTGGGAAAAGCTTCGCCTGTACACCATACTGCTCCTAAGGGTACGAGATCAAGCACTAGTCGTTCAGTTAATTTGCATATTAATTTGGCTGATGTAGAAATTCAATCTATTTGCTGCTTTGAGGGACATCTTTAGGAGAAAAAAAGGCTAAGGAGCAAACCCTACACAAATTTGGAGTAGAGTCCCTAAGATGGTTGGATGGTGCTTTGCATGCCTCCTTCTGGCAACTCTGCAGCCAAGCTGGTGCCAAACGTATTGCTGTTTTCCTTTGGACCACATCAGCGAGGCCAAGAAGGGGGTCTTCTTGTCTGCGCAGCCCAGGACCTCTGTACGCACTGCCCAGGCTTGTACCCCGGGGAAGTCACTTCAGTGCAGCTAACACAGCAAAAACAATGCAGGAGGCAGCAGTTATGCGTTACCAGTCTCTGCAGCCACAGCAGGCGCTGTGATTCTCCAGGAGTTTGGCTTCACTCCCAGTGTGGCCATGTCTTTGGAGGAGCCCACATAAAAGCACTCCCCACCCTGCTGCTGTCATACCTAATGGGCTCTTTGGTAATCCTAGGATTTGACGGGATACTTTTATATGTGTGAAAGTAGTTTTCCACATAGTTCTAAAGGACTTAACTGCCTGATAAGCCTGCTTCAGATGGAATTCCTAGAATGAGGCAGGGAGGGAAGGAAAACCTCCTTTGTAGGGTTGTTATTGTCTGACTCAGAGAAGGTGCCTATGTATTTAAGATTCTAGTTTTGTTACAGAAATGCACTGCACCAACCCCTGCCGTATTATAATAAACAATAATAGATGTTTTAAAATATTATCATTAATAGTCAACCTGCCTAAATTATCCTCCCATCTGTCACCCTTACACGATGGTTACGATATTGATTATGTCTATGAAGCAAAAAAACCCCCACCCTACCACATTTCCTAATTTAGCAATGTAGTGGCTAACGCTGTGAGAAATAAGCTAGGAAGATGATGGTGATGATGATGATGAATCGTTTATATCCCGCCTGACTAGGTTGCCCCACCCCTCTGGGTCGCTTCCATCATATATAAAAGCTCAATAAAACTATACAGGGATGCTTTCAGATGTCCTCTAAAGGTTGTATCGTTACTTATTTCCTTGGTTCAGAGGTTGCATAACTCCATACCCTCCAACATTTCTCTGATGAAAATAGGGACGTCCTACAGAAAAGCGAAATATTCTGGAATCGACTCAGAAACTGGGATGGCTTCTGTAAACACAGGACTGTCCCTTGGAAAATAGGGACACTTGGGGCAGATCTACACTCATGGCTTTTAATATTAAGGAAGGGTTAAGGAATGGTTTTGATAACATATATGGACACGACATCCTATTTTTAACATTCGTAATGTGTTATTAAAATGCAGCATAGCAACCAGCAGCAGGGAAACAGTATTTTGACGGGGGAAAACCTAAAGTAAACAAGTTTTAATTAACGAGTATGTGACATTTTAGAACGACACATCTAATATTGTTCTAATAATGTTAAACAGGTCAGTGTAGATCCAGCCTTGGAAGGTCTGTAAGAGTCTGGTTGTCCTCTTGGCCTTTGCAGGAATCAATGTCCTTGGTGCCCATTCTTAGTTACATATAATGTAAAACAATTTTGTAGAAGCAAGAAAAGGGGGGATATATGCACAGCGTTGCCAAAATTAATAATCTGAATATCTGTGCAAATACCAACACAGGTGCCAGCGTGTCCAGTCGGGGAAGTGTGCTATTCAATAACACAGCAACTAGCTTGAACAAACAGTTGTAAATCCCAGGCTGAGTAAACAATTCAGGCATCAACAAAATGGAAGGGGGAGGATGATTTATGTGCCACGAAATGAAAGCAGTATTGAATCACCCATAACAGAAATGCTTTGCCCTGGCTCAGTCTGAGCAGGTGGAAAACACCTGCTATTTGGCTCATAGAGAAACAAATGATACTAAGATAATGTTTTCCATCACGTCCTCTTTCCCCTCACCTTGATTCACCTGTAGCTCTGATGTATTACCTTTGAAGTGCGCTTCTACCCTGCAAAGCTGTTTCACTATTTTTAAAATGTTCATTTTGAAGTAGGTTTGCCAACTGAACAAAAATATATATAGTCAGGCTTGTGCTTTTAGCAGGCATGAACTTCATGAACCCTGCAAAGCATTGCGGGGACAGGCAGAGTCCCCCCAACCCAGGCGACCCCCAAGTGGAATAATGACTCAAGACAACATGCTATGGGATTAAAATTGCCCACAACTTTATTAAATTTCAGATGTAGGGAGACCTTGGCTCAGGCATTGGGCGTTTATCCTTCCCAGTCCCCAGCTGGGGATCTGGGAGACATCAGGGTTATCCAGAATGTGTGGGGATTGGGCTGGCTCTGGAGAACATATGTTCAAGCAGAGAGCCTGCCCCTGTTATGCCACCATCGCAGGGGAGAGCAATGACAACCTCTAGGCGTATGGCCAATGCCTCCCCTCAAGACCCCTTTAACGGGGAACCCTAGGATCACTGCCGCAAGGGGGGCATGGATCACTGCTTCACCCCCCCCCATTTAGGAAGATAGACTAAAGGATTCTGCCCAAGGCCTGAAACTGCCAAAGTTGTGACGTTTTGCTACAGGAAAGGCAAAACCTGCCAATGCAGGAAAATTCCTTTCCAGCCCTTCAACAGTGACCATGACATAGCAGTGCCTGCGTACCTATGGAGAAGAGGTTAACCTGCAAAAGAAGACTTAACTGAGGGAGGGCTGGGTGGGAGAAGCTCTGGAGCCAAGTGATGCTTCACAGGTAAGATTCACCTTCTGTTGTGTGGGCAGGGCAGTCCCTCCCCCTACCTGGCCGATCCCCTGGCAACGCCTCCCCAGGCGGGATTGGGTGATTGGCTGAGGTAGGCGGAGACCTCCAGGCATCCAGCCTGGGGAGGATGAAGCCAGCCCGAACTACCAGGAGCCGCACTGGGATCCGGGGGGCTGTAGGCGACCACGCAAAAGGCACCCCCCATTTGATGTGGGGAGCGGTCATTGCCACCATTTTTATAATGTTCATTTTGAAGTAAGTTTGCGAATTGAACAAAAAAGGAACCTCACCACAGCATTAGCATCTGCTCAGATCTGCCCCTACATACCCCATGGACACACATTTATGTCTTAGTCAGATTTCCCCCCTCAGTAATGACATTAGCAACAAATTCTAATTCTTAACTGATCATCCTATTTATTATCACGTTTTCAGTTATGTCCCAGACATTCCAATTCTGCATTTAAACAAAGCTGACATTGACCCAGTTAGTTTAGCTCATCCTTTCCACTCAGAAAACATAAAGGAAAGCAATGCATTATGCTTTTATTGATTTCCCTTTCTGAACACAGAAAAATCACAACTTATCAAGTTACATATCTGATTAGTTGCTATAACCCACAATTACAAAGAACCTAAAAAGAACACCCAACACCCTTTATTAAGATTTGTGACAGTTCAGTTTAAAACTCACAGACGGTGAGGCGGTACACATCGCACCGTTTATCATTCCAGGTGCCATCACTGTACATTTCAACACATTTTTCTGCCCCTTTCCCTGTGGGCTCATTTTCATACCAGTTTGTATAATTCAGGGACTCCCCGTTCAGGTACTGAAATTCCCCAGGAACATGCCCCTCAGTAATGCCCAGGTAAACATATGTGTTAAAGGATTTAACAAAGCTCATAATAGCATCATTTTCCTTCTTGTTCGTCGGAGAAGCAATGGTGCCATGGGCTGCTTTGCAGATTCTTACTGAACTGTTAAAATCAGCCGTTTTTTCAGTGCTGGCAAACACTTTACTGCCAACTGTTACAATCTTTCCACTCAAAGCCAAGGCTGAAAAGCAAAATGGAAGACCCGATTAGTCCTATTAGATGACAGGAGTAAATCACACTGTGCATGTTGAAGTTAACTCTTTATTACCAAGAACGGGATCTGCACAGGCTTGGCAGAGAGTCTGGTTTAATGAGCACAGGAAGTGATTCTCAGTAGGTCTTGCCCCATGTATCAGTTACTAAGTCTAAAGATTCCCACCTCCCCAAAGTCATCTTTTTCTCCAGAGTCACCCCACCCTCCCAGCAATCAGAGACTGCATCTTCGTGCTCGTCTTTGCTCCTCCAGCTTCATGCCTCTTCTGGTTCTGGGAGACCAGGGAGAGAGGAGTTGGTGGCAGCAAGAGGCGACGATGCCCATGACTGTTCACCAGCCTGACTCATCTCTGCCTCTTGGCCTTCCTCCTCCCATTCTCCTGCTTCAGTTTCTGCCTCTCATTCTGGACTCCCCTCTGCCACAGACTCTCCCAGTTCACTAAGCCCTGTTCCCCCTCACCTTATGGAAGGAAGCAATTATGTAAATAAAAAAAGGTACCTCTTTCTATTATGGTGATTCTGTATTTGATTTCCTTAAGGTCATCTTGCAGTTTAGGATCCTCCGATGCAGACAGACCTGTGAACAAAAGTGACAATTATTAATTTATTTTGTTTTATTGTATGGTACTTTGAAATTCACAAGACGAGATAACAGTTTTTCTTAACAGCTGCCTTGAATAGGAATGGATTATATAAAAGTGGTGTTAAATCATTTATTTTGTTAAAGTGCACCAAGCATATTGGTTTTGTTTTTCATCTGAAATAAATACATTTTGCTGCAGTAAATGGACTTGTGATATATTTGTTATCCAGATTATGAACTGGTGAGAAATGGTTCTTATACACTGGAAAGAAAATGCTGGTTTTGTCTGACTATCTATTCAGGCTGCATTCCTATGCATGCTTACCTAGGAGTAAGCCCTAATATACTGGGATTTACAGTTCTGAGTAAACATGCCTAGTTTGCACTTGCCAATAAAACCCAGGAGTTTTCAGACTGCACGCCTAGTATCTTTATCAGATCTTTTTAACACCAATGATGACAGAGGAGCTTCTTTAAAAGACAGATTGCCCAACATAACTGTGATGTTTATTGCAGAGGGTTCTAGTATGGACTGCTGCATTCATTCAGTTAATGTGGGGCCACATAGAGACTTCAGAGGTCCGCTGCATGCCTTGCACACTCTGTGTAAGATGTCTGTCCTAGGATGTTCTCCAGAATCATTATGTAAGCACATCTTTGTTGTTGTTGGCATCCGACTGTCTCAGGAGACAATGGACAAAGGGGCAAAGTCTAACAATTGGAGAGTTACAGCGCCTGCTGTGGCTGTAGAGACTGATAGGGGAGAGATATGTTTTATTGCTGGTGGGTCAAATGAAGGTGTCCATTTTTGCTGCTACTGGTACACTATGGCGTTTCTTAACTCTCTGTGCTCCTCCCAGAATATATACTAATTTTGTACTCCTGGGCTGGGTTAGGGCAGCTATGGCAGCCAAAACAGGGTTACAGAGAACTAAGAGGGAATCATCAGTATATTTGGGTGTATCCCAAAGTTTGCAGATGTAGAAAAAAATATATTTTGTGTGTGTGTGGGGGGGGATGCCTGAGAGGTAACCCAGCCCCATAGCCTGATGTGGACTGAGCATGCTCAGTGGGCACAGAATGCCTCATGGCTCATGGATGGGGGAACTGGGGAGTGTGGGAGTTGGTGGGAGGGAATATCCTGAAATAAGGCATGGCTGACATTGCATAGTGAACATAGAATCATAGAATCATAGAGTTGGAAGGGACCACAAGGGTCATCTAGTCCAACCCTGCAATGCAGGAATCTTTTGTCCAACGTGGGGCTCAGACCAATGGCCCTGAGATTTAGAGTCTCATGCTCTAGCGACTGAGGTACAGTCAACACTGCACCATCATCATTGATGATATTGATGATAATATTAATAACTTGTTCTCTGCAAATCCTCAGGGGTTCCTGAGAAGACAAATCAATCTGGAAAAAGAGGTTTCCTTGGTAGATAGTTTGAAAACTATTCTTCTTCTCTATCAGTTCACTGATCAAAGGGGAAGCCTGGAGGGGATAGCAACCAGCTAATGGACTGAGATTTTAAAACTAAAGAATGTTGTGTCTGGAGTGTTGACCTGATTCGGCCAGAAAAATTCATTTTGTTCAATTACTGTCAGCTTTGAACCCTGAATATTCTTGCAGAACGATTTTTGCAGAATGACTTTTGCAAGAGGATAGTTTTAAAGCTTATGCTTCCCTCTAGTGGCCTGGCTATATATTATCGAGTCCAGTGGGAATTTGATGCTGAGAATATGCATTTGCACAGAACTAACGAACAGAGCTGGAATTACTTTTCTAGTTCACCAAGATTCTTGCGGGGCAATGAAAAGAATAATTAATATTTGGTGCTTTTAGACTGATTGATGACCTTGTATTTCACAGCAGGTTTATGGTTTCACATTTATGGCCTTATTCATTGGGATTATATGTGCTTTCCCCTGTAACTTTCCCATAAACTCATTTAGCTCGGCTGTGATTTTCAAACTCTCTCTGGAAACATTCGTTACATTTTCAGAGCACTAAACAGCTGAGCTGGAGGAGGTGAAGGTGCCCGTCAGCCCTGCCCGCCTCCCTGCTGGTGAGGATCACCCCTAGTCAGCCCTGAAACAAGCATTTTGGGGCAGGGAATGTAGCAACAGACCCAATCTGGGCATCTTCCCTGCTCCTTCCGCCCTGGTTGATGGCTGTGGATGTGGCGGTGCCTATGCCACTCCCTTAAGCCCTGCCACTTCCAGCCAGGGGTTTGGACCATAGCCTAAGGAACATTGTGTGGCTTAAGTGCGCTGAAGCCAAGGGCAATTAAAAAAAATTATAATTTTATAAACATCAACAGTACTGAAAGGAGTTGAAAGATTAAGGAGTGCATCCACCAGAAGGTGAGAAAATGGGGAGCGGGTTTTGTGAGTGCATAAAATAACAAATGAATAAAAGTGAAGGGGGGGAACCCACATGTCAGTTCACACTAGGCCACAGTTTAGTGCTATGTTTGCAAGCTAGAAGAAGCACAAGTATTTATTTTATTTTATTTTAATCAAATTTATATGCCACCCTACACTCACAGGTCTCATGTTCCTTGCTCCTTTATCTTTCCATGTGGCTGGGAGAAAGACTTCTGCAGCACTTAGGGCAGGGGTCAGCAAGGTTTATCTTGCCTGGGCAGATCGGTCCCGCAGAGATCCCTCCATGGGCTGGATCGCACACGGGATTTTCGGCGTCTGCATCTGCGCAGACACAATTTTCGGCCCCACAGAAGCGAGTCCCTGTGCCACACTGCATCGGTTTAGCGTAGAGTGAGAGCAGGAGGCTCAGTTCAGGGGTGGCTTGTGGGCCGGTCAAACAACCTCCACGGGCCACTTTTGGCCCATGGGCCTTAGGTTGCTGACCCCTGACTTAGGCTGTATACAAAGCCACATATTTAAAGCACCCACCCACCCAGGTACAGTCCTTTTTTTCTAAAAAAATGTTTCGGGGTACTCTCATTTTCCTACGCATATTGAAATACTGCCCCTCAATGAGGCCAAACTTAGATCCACGAAATGTTTTGGGGTGTTCGTACCCCTGCATCCCCCCCAGAAAAATGCACTGCCCAGGTATCCTGGGAATGGTAGTTTGTTAAGAGTGCTTTGAGTTGTAGCTCTGTGAGGGCCAAACAACATTTCCCAGGGTCCTTTAGGGAGGGGAGATGTGCTTTGAATGTCCAGCATCTGCCTCAACTATTTGTATAGTAAAGCACATGATGTCTCCCCCTTGAAATTGATGATCTCATAATAATGTGCTGCTGGTCTGTGCCCACCTTATTATTGAGACTGATCACCTATCACTGGATTTAGTTAAGGGGTAAAGTGCTTAGTGAAAACCAGAGGAGGTGACCATCCCCACTAGGCATGGGGTTTGACGTTCTGTCATTTCATCATGTTATTCTAACTCAGACTCAGTCGGCTGTGGTTTGAATTTTGTTAAATTTGTACGATCTTGGCCTGACCTGGTGTTTTGAGAAAATAACATTATTGTTTCCAGCTCTCCTGACAGTGTTGTGAGCGTTGCTTATGTAATGGGTATCACTATTTACTGTACTGCTTCTGTTATTCATTGCCCATCAACAAGTAACCAGGTGGATGCCCCAGGAGTATTGTGATTTGTTTGTCTTGCAGTGTCACATTGATTCTGACATACCTCTTTCTATATTTTTGGAATCTAATGGGGTTTGTGTTTGCAACTGAACAAAACACTTTGTTTTACTATTTGCCAGTTTTAAAGTTTGCTCAGTCTTCAATTGTGCTGTTGTGCCCTGTCTATGTAGTTTTACTTTAAGCCACAGGTCAGCAAACATCTTAAGCAGGGGGCCAGTCCACTGTCCCTCAGACCTTGTGGGGGGCAGGACTATATTTTGAGGGGGGAAATGAACGAATTCCTTTGCCCCACAAATAACCCAGAGATGCATTTTAAATAAAAGCACACATTCTACTCATGTAAAAACACCAGGCAGGCCCCACAAATAACCCAGAGACGCATTTTAAATAAAAGGACACATTCTACTCATGTAAAAACACGCTGATTCACAGACCGTCCACAGGCTGGATTTAGAAGGCGATTGGGCTGGATCCAGCCCCTGGGCCTTAGTTTGCCTACTCATGCTTTAAGCCTTGTAGTGCTGTGCTCTCTTCTCCCATACTTATAATACGTCCTTGTTGTAACTTCATATTGTGACTGTGAACTATGCTGGATGCAACACCCAGTGTAGTAATTTACAGTATAGGCCATATTTGTGCTTCCATCCACTGCCATCTCTCCTCCAGGCTCCTCTGTCTGGTTATGATACTTTTGTTCCTCGGGGCATTAATGTCTAAGCAATTATGATTTTGCAGATTAGCGAGCCATTTCATTGGTAGGATTACCTCAGCTACTTCTGGGAGATGATCAGAGAACCATTATTTCTTTAAAAACCACACACACACAAAAATTCCTTTATGTACTAGTGCCAGTGGGGTTTTAAGAGGGTACTCAGGGGTACTCAGTACCTGCACCTCTTTTGTTGTTGTAAAGTGTGTCACTTACTGTAAACTTCATGGTTTTTCTAGGAAAAAAGCACAGAGTAGTACTATTAAGCTTTACCACCTTATCCCCTCACCCCAATCATATAATATATGCAGAGAGACGGAATATGAATATGAATATGAATGGCTACCATCAAACCTCAATAAAACAGAGTTCAATAGAATATACATTTCATCAGATCAGCTCGGACAGTAACTCCAAACACTAAACAGAGCACCATTAGCATAATAGCCAGGGTTCAAAAATATTGTCGTTAAATTCATGATGATGATTATTCTTTTGAATCTAGTACCATAAAATATTGCTAGCACTTGCATGAAACCTGAGTGGCTTGGACAACTGGCAAAGAAGAGAAGAGTTTGGATTTGATATCCTGCTTTATCACTACCCTAAGGAGTCTCAAAGTGGCTAACAATCTCATTTTCCCCACAACAAACACTCTGTGAGGTGAGTGAGGCTGAGAGACTTCAGAGAAGTGTGACTAGCCCAAGGTCACCCAGCAGCTGCATCTAGAGGAGCGGAGACGCGAACCTGGTTCACCAGATTACGAGACTACCACTCTTAACCACTACACCACACTGGCAAAGGACTGAACATTGCAAAACTCGCATTCAAGTTCAATTACTGTGAAATTTTCCAACATCTCTAATCTCAACCTTAGACAAGCACAAAGATCCGAATCAGACTTTTGCCTCCATGCACATAGCAAATTTATTTTTATTTTCTTTCAGTTATATCCTGCCTTTATTCCACCATCACTGAAACCATTGTGGCATCCATGAGGTCGCCAAGTGGTCACCCATCCAAGCAGTGAGCAGACCTTGGCCTGCTTAGCTTCAGCAAGGTGGCAGCTCCAAGTATCTCCAAGCCTTATCCTAGGACTGGAAGAAGCACATGCTAGGGAGAGTAGGACTATGTCTATTGGCTCCACCCCGATTCCATACTGCTCGTCACTTCCACTCCAACATCCGAGCATTTAGTGTGACCTCTGAAAAAGGGAGCCTACAAACATAAATTTGTGTGACTAGGATTTCCAGTCATACGAGAGACCAGGTGCGCACAGTTTGTAGGTTTATCTTTTTAGACGTTGCACTAAATGTGCATATGTTGTGGAAAGAGCTGGTAGGACATACGATGCAAGAGACAGGGCCAAGTGGCACACAGTTCCTTGTTCAACCTCCACGCATGTAAAATCTACCTGAAGGCTAACACTTGGACTAAAATGCTATTTTAAAGATGATACCCATAGTCACCTGGTATCCCATGATCTCCCTTCTCGCCTTGTCTGCCCTTTAACCCTTGTGGTCCAGGGTGTCCAGGAGGACCTGGAGGACCTGCTGAAGTGAAAAATAGAAGGATGAAAACCTGGCACACACGTTAAAGACCGTCTGCATTTATTTCACATTCATCTTTAGAACTACGTAAGTTAGAACTGACCAAAATGCAACAAAGAAGGAATTCTCTTTTGAGGGGTTTCAAACATTTGCATTACAAGCACAACACCTTAAAGGTGGTCTGCAGAATCACACTAGAATCTTATACCTCTGTATAATGTCAATTGCCTTTTAGTTAAAAAGAAAGTTTGTACATTTTGGAGAAATGCTGGGAAAGGATAAGCAGGTTACTTGTCTGTAGTATTTGGTTTGGCTCCACGTCCATAACAGATGTGGATTAGTTTGTCCTGTAGGCAAACTCTAACTACAAGAATAGGATGCAGAAGCAATCTAGGGAAGCTGTTACCACGGGAGCAGGGAGGGAATCCAAGAAAGCACAGGTCCAAATGGTACAGACCATGAGCTTTCCACATGGTCCAGATTCATGTGTCTTTTGATATGACCATGCAATCAATCAGTAACCTTCCAGCATGTATTTGGATTTTAAGAATGTGGAAATCATTTTCTCTTGAACATATTCCTGTTAAATTCAGTTGTGAAACGCAGACACTTCACATCCTCCTGCTCACATCTCCCAAGCTTACCTATAAGTTGTGGACATGTTTCCTGAGCATCACTGGTTACAAGCAGAGCAGCCACTGCCACGAGGATATGAACCAAGTGGGATGAAGGCATCCTTTTCAATCAGCTAAATGAAGTGGGGTGGGGGGTGGGGAGAGAGATTTATCAGGTGTAGGTGCATCACAATAATTTTATTCTGTTATTTCCTTTTTCACCGTTTTGCTTCTGGATAGTGTGAATTGGGTAGGTTTGCCTTTAAACTGAATTGTATTTCCCCCCATCCCTAGTTACAACAATATAAAACGACAATATTAAAATCAATGGAAAAAAATTACAATCAAAAGAATAACGTGGAACCATATCTCTATCTATCTATCTATCTATCTATCTATCTATCTATCTATCTATCATCTATCTATCTATCATCTATCTATCTATCTATCATCTATCTATCATCTATCTATATCTATCTATCTATCTATCTATCTATCTATCTATCTATCTATCTATCATCTATCATCTATCTATCTATCATCTATCATCTATATCTATCATCTATCTATCTATCTATCTATCTATCATCTATCTCTCTATCTATCTATCTATCTATCTATCTATCATCTATCTATCTATCTATCTATCTATCTGTCATCTATCATCTATCTATCTATCATCTATCTATCTATCATCTATCTATCATCTATCTATCTATCTATCATCTATCTATCTATCTATCTATCTATCTATCTATCATCTATCTATCTATCTATCTATCTATCTATCTATCTATCTATCTATATCTATCTATCTATCTATCTATCTAATCTATCTATCATCTCTCTCTCTCTCTCTCTCTCTCTCTCTCTCTCTCTCTCTCTCTCTCTCCCTCTCTCTCTCTCTCTCTCTCTCTCTCGCCAGGGAAGCTAAACAATTATGAAGCTAGTCATAACTTTGTATTGTACTACTTCAGTGCCTTGAGAAGCCAGCCCAGCTTTGCTTGCTCCCACCCTTCATCTCCGCCTCATTCTGTTGAGTTTTATTGGCTGCTAGATGACATGGAGTTCGTGAAAGGCAAACCTAGCCACTGCTCCCAAAGGAGTATGCACTTGTTATATGCTCTTGCTTCCGCTCATCCTTGTAAAGTTTACATTGATAAACCAACTTCCTCGTGAGAATATGGTGGCACAACTCAGAAGTAAGTGCCCGTAAGGATCCATTTATTATGGTATTTTTCTTAAGATGAATTGATGCCCTTCTCGCCTGCAGCTGTCTTCTTTATATAGGGTTTCTCTACTGATTGTTGTTATGATGCTCTTAGAGCCTTTTAAAAACATTATATATAAATGCTTTCAAAAATAAATAGATATTCTCAATAAAATTTGATTGGAATGAATTGAAAGAAGAGGGAAAATCTAAAAGAGCACTCTGATTTTATTCATCTTTACCCAGAAGTAAATTTAACTGAGTCCAATGACTTTACTCCAAAGTAAGCATGCAACCTGAGAAATGTTAATGCTACACTAACAACACAATCCACATATATAAGAAATTTCATGAAGTTAAATGGGGCTTATATAGGATTTCAGCCTAAAACAGAGCAGTTCGACTTACCTTCTTCTTCCAACACCGAATACTGCAGAAGCACTAAAAGGGTCCATTTATAGTATGTGTTATTTGATATATATGTTCATGTTAGATAGCGGTTGGCTTAACTTGATTTATCCCCCTCCATTTTATTTGCATAGTTGCTTCATTACATAAAAGACGGAATGGTCAACAGCCCATATTGATTCCCTAACTTTTTGAAATAAGATCTAACATAATGAGCAGGACAATGAACCTTTGAAAAATATTTCTGCTGAGGATTGTTTGCAAAATATAGGGTTTCTATACAGCTTAATATAATTAATAAATAATGATATATCCAGTGCTATTTTCGGAGAGGGGGGAGGACAAATCATGACATAGTGCACATAAGCTACAAGCTGTTCTCAGTAGATCTCTATAAAAACACACAACCTTTGTATATATTTTTTCCCCACATGATGTAGAATCTACACCTATGAAAAGGTTTTTAGTAATCTGACACACCTGACCTAGAACATTCAACACAGGGAGACATACAGCTCCTCTAGGTCAAATGCTCTGTTTTCCACCTTGACATTCAGACAATGTCAACCAATAACCCACCACCGTTATGTTCTTCTCTGGAATTAAGGGGTATTATACTATGTCCAACCGGGTTTTAGTTCAGACATGGCACAGACCTCGCCCCTAGACACACACACAAGCCATAACAAAAAAACTGACTTGGGAGATTTGCCACTCTTCCCAGTCAAAAACAAAAAAGTGTGTGTATAGGGGTAAGATTACAGAAACAGAAACATTTACAGTGGTACCTCGGGTTAAGTACTTAATTCGTTCCGGAGGTCCGTTCTTAACCTGAAACTGTTCTTAACCTGAAGCACCACTTTAGCTAATGGGGCCTCCTGCTGCTGCCACGCCGCCGGAACCCAATTTCTGTTCTTATCCTGAAGCAAAGTTCTTAACCTGAAGCACTATTTCTGGGTTAGTGGAGTGTGTAACCTGAAGCGTATGTAACCTGAAGCGTATGTAACCCGAGGTACCACTGTATATGAAGACCCTTTATCATATGTTACCGTTATCTGAAGGGAAGGTTCTTCCCTATTTCCTGACTATGGCTGGGTAAGACCGGATGCACGAGAGAAAGAGCCAGCTCTGTAGCTGCATGCAGAAACAACAGTGGTACCTTGGGTTACAGATGCTTCAGGTTACAGACACTTCAGGTTACAGACTCCGCTAACCCAGAAATAGTACCTCGGGTTAAGAACTTTGCTTCAGGATGAGAACAGAAATCGTGCGGCGGCAGTGCAGCGGCAGCGGGACGCCCCATTAGCTAAAGTGGTACCTCAGGTTAAGAACAGTTTCAGGTTAAGAACGGACCTCCGGAACAAATTAAGTTCTTAACCCGAGGTACCACTGTATGGGATTTTCTTCCAATGGATGCCCAATTGACTCTCTCTCTGCCTGTCTTCTGCCATCTTTGCATTTAAAACAAGCTTTGAGTTTACCTGCTTTGAAATGGTAGGTGTTGATCCTATAGATTTTAGTGGTTTTAAATGACTAAGACAATCTCTAGCATCTTTTAAATTGCTTTGTTAAGACAATGTACCTATATTTCAAATATTGATGTGAGCTGCTGCTTATAGATAGTGCCACCACAGCCTCCCACCATATAAGGAACAGTGGGATACAAATGTTGTTCACACACACACACACACTAACACAAGCCAAAATATTTGTTATTTTAGGGCAGAGGGAAGGGGCTGCACCTCTCTTCTGAAATACTGCTTGATATAGTATTTTATGACCCCAGCATTTTAATTTTGTACATGTTTGCAGAAGAGTTGTACTGAGCGGAAGAGTGCCAGTAAGATTCATTTAGATTTAGAAAGGGGGAGCAGATTCAGAAGTTTGGAAAAACTCCAAGTTATAAGAACTTACTATTGCTTTAAGAAACACTGGGAACCCCCAGAGAAAGCAAAACAGCAACTGCCCCAAAGGATCAAAGAGTCGAAGCACAATCTTTGCATGTTTACTCAGGGGTAAGTTTCACTGAGTTCAGTGGCACTTGCGTCCAAAGACAGGATCCCACTGTGAGACTAAGACAGGACTCTGCTATGAGGTGGCTCAAAGCACAAGAGCCACCTTTGTGCGCCCTGGGGGCAGATGATTTGTATTAACAATTTTTCGGCCAAAATGGTAAAGATCGACATCAGAACCAAGTTCAATGTCAGCATTCAGGCTGCGGAATAAGCCAGCACTGGATGAGCAGTTCAGTGTGGTCATGGACCAAGCAACCATGACAAAGCCACAAAAGCAGACTGAGAAAAGCAATGAACCCCATCCCTACTCCCAGGTAAACCGTATATAGGATTGCAGCCTCCACTTCTCAGCACGTATCTGTTGGGATCTGGTTTCAGAAACAATTTTAGATTACTCAATTGAGTCATATGTGGCTAGGCAGAAAGCCCTCATATATAAGTTCTCCAAGTACAGAGCTCTCTGTATTGAGGCACCTTGTAAACAAAGCTCTGCTCTCTCTACAGTGTGGAATTAAGCCTTTTACAAATAATGTCTCATAATAGAATTCCTCTCATTAAAAGCAACAGTACTTGGACAAGTTCCCAATCACTCTTCAATGCAGCGAACATCCTGTTTCTCAAACATTCCACTGGAAATTATTCCTCTCGGCAAATACTGTTTACCGATTATACATGTAATATTTAATTAGCTTTTTCTAATGCGCAGACTTTGGAGGAGGGCCAGTAGGTTGGCTCAGTTTTGTGGGTGGAAACAGCAGGCGTGCTCTCTCTCCTCCATCATATGTTCACTATTCATGTGTTCACTGAGTAGGGTCATGGGAGTCATGCATGCAGGAATTGTGATGCCCTTTAAAACCTCTGGCTGCCCACCTATGTCTCTGTTGTTCCTGAAGAGCCAAAAGGTCACTAATGCCCTGTTTACACGTCACCTAGAGTGGTTATGGTTAACACATCTCCATAGCTGCTGCAACAGAACTCCAGGTAGGTGCACAGGGTTTTTCTCAACCGGAACTCTCCAGAACACTCCAGAACTCTGTTCCAGCATCTCTCAGGTGGGCACTACTGCCATTCTAAGAGAACAAGGGAGGCGTTCATCATGAGTTTGGGCACCTCTTCTTCTAGTAAAATAGCACTGCAGGTACAGCAATAACATATCTTCAGCACAACTATTTACAATTGCTGAGACAGATGTATAGAACACTTCATTTTTTAAATCCAAATTTTCCTGTCAATTTTTGTCTGTCTGTCTTCCTTCCGTCCTTCCTCTCTTTCTCCTAAAGATGAAATGGAAACTTTTTGGCCTATAAAAGGCTCCTTTAAAAAAAAAGTAAAAAAGAAAGCAGCATATCTTCCCAAGGTAATGGGAAATCAAAATCTATTGCTGTTTTAGGTCGATACTAAAACAAGTGTCCCTGAAGAAATTTGCTGGCTATGCAAGAAATATCCTGGTAGCATAAGCTGCTGCTTTGACTTTGCCAGGCAAGAATTCACATCAGCTCTTGGGGGTGTTCTTCCTTTGGTCTGTTTTTTTAATTTTAATTTTGAGTTGAAATAGTGTAAATAGAAAAAAAAGGAGACTCATAATCATCATTAAAAGCACAGCATTATTTGATATATCAGGATGCAACATTCAACATTCTGAAGGAGCGAGCCCTTCAACATTTGCAGGCTGTTTAAAGGTTGTGCAGTGTAGTATAGTAGTCTCATCCTTGCTACTTCAATACACTTTATTAATGGTTGACAGGCAAATCCTCCAAGTACACCCTTCCTTCAGGCTAAGCTGTCCATTAACTGGCCATTGTAAACATGATGAAATACCATATTGGGTCACACATCTGCTGTTATCAGCTGCTGCTCTAGACACTCATATGCACACGTGCTAAAGAAGTGTGTTTAAACCTCTGTTCCCAATATGCTCAGGGCTGGTTTAATCCAAATAGCAGAATCACAGGAAAACAAGTTTTTCCTGGACTGCACCATTTCAGAATATTGGGGGTGGGGAGTCACATGACTGCTGCCCTCGTCCTTCCTCGCAATGGTGTAAGGTACTATTTCCTGATTGAGGGCTATTGTGACTGGAATTGGGAATCACTGTCATCACTCTCATAGTAGAATCAGAAAACTGTAGAGTTGGAAAGGACACTGAGCATCATCTAGTCCAACCCCCTGCAATGCAGGAAGCTCAACAAGAGGTTCCCCATTCAATTTGAAACCATACTGGACCCTGCTTAGCTTTGCAAATGTGATAGCAGTTTTATCCCTGCACCACTAGGATACTGACTAACTGAGAAGCATCAGAATCGCACATGAGGAGAATTGTGGTTCATGTTCCATTATTCATTTGTCTAGTTGGATAAATATCCCACGTCTTATATTTTCCTAAGTACCAATTAGATGTTTTATGAAATACTAGGAATTATGCTGAGATCTATTTCTTTGTGACTGATGATGGAGTATTGCCAGCTACACCTGTGCCTTGAAAGCCAAAAATTCATGCAAAAATCATGAAAGACAACAAACACACACATTCACAATCATTTTCAATATATTTGAATATGCATTTGAACATCAATGATTCTGCTTTGCTTTAGATCTAACAGATAATTTTTTTAAAAAAAATCTTTGTAAATCCTAATTTTCTTGATTCTATGTGGCAGATGTGGGTAAAAAAAATAAAAATCTGATTTTTATCTGCAGAACCACAATTCCCAGAAGCCAAGGCTGTTTTGTTGGTTTAGGATTGTAATGTAGGTGGAGGAATCTGACTAGAATTCACAGACAGTGAGACGATACTGGTTGCATTTTTTGTCATTCCAGGATCCATCCGTTTGCATCTCAACACAGTTTTCAGCTCCCTTGCCATTTGGTTCATATCGACGCCAGTTTGTATAATTGACAGCCATTCCATCTAAATATTCAAATTCTCTTGGAACAGGGCTCTCCTTAATTCCCAGGTAGGCATATTGGTTTTTCTCTTTCACAATTTCCAAAATAGCATCATTCTCCTTTTCATTCATGGGTTTGGCAACAGAACCCCCAGAATTCTGGCATGTTTGAAGTATGGTTTCGAAATCAACTACCTTTGCATTGGTGGCAAATATTTTATCTCCTGCTTTGTTTATCATTCCTTTGAGAAGAAGCACTGCAACAGAGAAGAAAAATCATGGTGATCCATTTTGTACTATATTGCAACAAAAATTGATGCATGCAAGCCACTGCTACATTTTATAGCATCAAGTGAAGAACATGCAGGTATAAACTAGGAATGGGTGAATCAATCTTTCTCCAGGCCATATTACTTTTTTGTGTGTTGTCTCAATCTCACATCATCCACATTACTGTGCATTTCCATTTTTTCTAAAAAAACATATAAATGCACAAAATGTGCATTTAAATACATTTTAAAATCTATATTTAAAAATGCTTTCTTTCTCTAAATGCAAATTGAGGGAGGATGTCCTGAAGCCCCATAGAAAGCACCAGATCTCCCTTTGTAAAGATGGACAGAGCTCCAACCTCAAAGAGCGAGGTTCGATGTCCGATTCCTCATTTCTGCTACTGCAGAAACTCCCATGGCCCTTACTCTATGAACATCAGAGCACCAATATCAATAGAGCCAGAAGGGGCCAAAAAGAAGACTTGGATCTGAGGAACCAAATGCTTTCTCAGTCGCCTGACTCGCCCCCAAACCAGAAAGAAAGCTACACCAACCCAGGCAATGGTGTCGTGACGGGGTGGGTGGGGGGCAGAGGGAGGGACTTGGAGAAGGGAGAAGCAGTGCAAGATCACTCCTGGCTCAGTGAGAGCCCAACTGGCATTGAATGTTGCAGATCAACCCCCTTCAGTGCTCCACCCCTCCCCAGTGACTTAAGTTTGCAGCCTAGATGCATTTTAACTCAAAATGGACATTAAAAACAAACAAACTGATTTTCGTATGATTATTTTTGAGCCAAATACTGTGTTGACATATTATGGAAGTGCAAAAGCAGATGGGCAGCTAGGTTTTAATCTGCATGTTAATCCGAAAAGTGTGGCTCAGGCCACTTCCTAAAACCAGCTCTCATATTATTGCAGGAGGTTTTTTTTGAGGGGGGGGGTATAACAATCTTCAGCTTTAACAACAACAACAACAACAATTTGGCTGGGTTTCCCCATCTGGCTGGGTTTCCCCAGCCACTCTGGGCGACTTCCAACAAAAGATTAAAAGTACATTAAAACATCAGTCTTTAAAAACTTCCCTAAACAGGGCTGCCTTCAGATGTCTTCTAAAGGTCAGATAGTTGTTTATTTCTTTGACATCTGATGGGAAGGCGTTCCACAGAGTGGGCGCCACTACCGAGAAAGCCCTCTGCCTAGTTCCCTGTAACTTTGCTTCTCGCAGGGAGGGAACCACCAGAAGGCCCTCAGCACTGGATCTCAGTGACCAGGCTGAACGAATGGAGTGGAGATGCTCCTTCAGGTATACTGGGCCGAGGCCATTTAGGGCTTTAAAGCTCAGCACCAACACTTTGAATTGTGCTCAGAAACGTACTGGGAGCCAATGTAGGTTTTTCAAGACTGGTTTCAAGACTGGTTTATGTTAAATTTTGATTGGTGATAGGGAATAGAATTTCTCTCTCCCTACCCCTTGCCAAGATAGTTTGAAAGAGGGATTGCTTCTTCTGGTGTGGACGCTCACCTTATGTTCACATTTGGTAAACAGGGTGGGGTTTGTTTGTTTGTTTGTTCTTTTAGAGAGAAAAAAATAAATGTGTGAATGCAATAGGGAAGTGAGCTTCTCTCAAACCACTTTTAACTCTCTTGAAGCTGTCGCTTGAAGTTACACAAAAGAAAATAAGTCAGGATCTCCCGTGTTATTCTTAACTTTGGTTTTCAGCAGTCTTGGGAAGGGTAAAAACAAAGAGATTACCTCCTTCAAGCCTCAATATTTTTTGATTCAGACTTCTGAGGACTTCCTGTACTTCTGGATCAAGAGAAGCAGGACGGCCTGTCAATTAAAATAATAAGAAAAAACTGAGCTGAGCTGTGCTTCATTGGCTACAGCAAATCCAGTGTTCTTGCTGTAAATCATTTTTGAAGGACATGTGTTTCCTTTTCAGCGAGGAATAATTCAGCCCATTTGTTGATCTTGAATTTATCAACGACCACCGAAAAATCCCTTCTGGAGTAAGATTTATTCCTAGCATATCAAAGACAGAAATCTCCCTTTCACCATTTAGTTTTAAGCTAGAGAATAAAAACCTATAAAACGGTTAATGCATATAGAATGAAAATAAAATCAAATAAAGTCAGGAAATTTCCAGGGGACTGTTTAGTTACATTCAAAGATAGAGAGATGAGGAACCTGATTTTGCAAAGAAATAGGGAAAAGAGATTATATATTGATGGACATTACATAATCATATTTAAAGACATTCCTATAAGGCTGTTAAAACGAAGAGAACCCTATAAACCACTAGTGCAATTGCTTAAAAAGAATAGGATCGATTTCAGATGGGAATTTCCGGAAGGGGTCTCTTTCTTTTACAAAGGAGTTAAAAGAAGATTGACTAGCCCCAAGGAAATAGGAAAGTTTACAAGAAGATATAAAGAGCTTCAGGCGGGAGAGGAGGAGCCGAAAGGTGCAGAAGGTGGACTTAAATTGAGGGAAGAACTAGAATTAGGTGAAGAGGAAGATCAGAGCAGAGGAGAACTAGAAGAAGACGAAGAGGAGGAAGAAGGAGAGGAGACAGAAAGGATATAGAATAATACCCAAACTAGAGCAACACCTAAATCAATATGTCTTTAAAATTATGGAATTGGAACATTAATGGAATGAACGATAAGAAAAAACGCAATGGAATTGAACGTATCCTAAAAAAGAAAAATTTAGATATCATATGCCTTCAAGAAACTCATGTGGCTAGCAAACATAAGAAAATCCTTATTAATAAGAGGTTAGGGAATGAATTTATCTCTTCGGATAAAAAGAAAAAAAGAGGAGTAGTACTTTATATTAAAAATAATATTGAATCACACCAATTATTTAAGGATGAGGAAGGGAGAATAATCGCAGTCCGTATTAAATGGCAAAGTGAAACGTTGATAATAGTGGGGATTTACGCACCAAATGGAAATAAAACAGAGTTTTTCAGATTACTGGAAGAGAGATTATTTGAATATATGGATCAAAAAATTATAATAATGGGGGATATGAACGGGGTGGTCTCAACGGAAATAGATAGATTAAGGAAAACGAAGACAGAAGGAGGGAAATTACCTATGTCATTTTTTGAAATGGTTAAGAACTGTAACTTAGTAGACATATGGAGATTGAGACACCCCCTGGAGAAACAATATACATTTCACTCTGAACCGAACCAATCAATGTCAAGATTAGACCAAATATGGATATCAAATGAATTAACACTAAGAATCAAAAAAATTGAAATACAGGCTAAAGTTATCTCTGACCATAATCCCATAATAATGGAGATGAGGGGAGTTGAAGAATGAACCTTCAGATGGAGATTAAATGATAACCTATGGGACGATCAAAAATTCGTGGAAAAAATACGGACAAAATTATTTGAGTACTTTACAGATAACCTAGACAAAGGGGTAAAAACAAGTGTGGTATGGGACGCGAGTAAGGCAGTAATGAGGGGCCTGTTTATTCAACAAAATGTATCGAAAAGAAACAATAAAGAAAAAAGAACTAAAGAGATTTTGAGACAGATCACGGATTACGAACAAAAATTAACTAAAAAACCAAACAATGAAAGGATATTGTAGGAAATAAAATCCCTTCAAACTCAATTTGCAATGTTAATAAATAAGGAGGTTGAGTGGAATATCAAAAGACTAAGACAGAAAAATTTCGAATTTGCCAATAAGTCAGGAAAATGGCTTGCATGGCAAGTCAAAAGGAGAAAGGAACAAAATATAATTAACAAAATACAATTAAACGGAGAAGAGATAACTGATCCAAAAGGAATTAGAAGAGGATTTATGGATTTTTACGAGCAATTATATAAGAATAAGGATAGAAACAACAATAGGAAAATAGAAAGATACTTAAAAGGGAAAATGGTGAGAAAGATCTCGACAGAGCAAAAAGAGAGGTTAAATGCTCCTATTTTCAGAGAAGAGGTAGAAGAAGTGATAAAGGAATTGAAAAGAGGGAAAGCCCCGGGCCCAGATGGGTTCACATCGAGCTACTATAAAGAAATGAAAGATATATTGATGAATCCGTTAGTTGATGTGATGAATAACACCTTAAAAGAAAGAGAGATTCCTAATACTTGGAAGGAGGCATTTATCACAATAATTCCAAAACAAGACGCAGATCCAACTCAAGTAAAAAATTATAGACCCATTTCTTTATTAAATACAGATTATAAGATCTTTGCTGGAATTTTAGCAAAAAGGTTAAAAAAGATATTAATAAAGATTATTCACAAAGACGAAGCGGGCTTCCTACTGGGAAGGCAAATAAAAAATAATACAAGAAGTATAATTAACATAATAGAATATTTATCGGAGAGATATGATAAACCAGCTAGCCTAATCTTTGTAGATGCGGAGAAAGCCTTCGATAACGTTGCTTGGGATTTTATGCTGAGAAATTTGGAATTTATGGAAGTGGGTCAAGAGTTCTGGAACGGTATAAAGGCAATCTATACAGAACAGAAGGCGAAGCTGATAATAAATAATGTGATTACAGAAGATATAAAAATATCTAAAGGAACAAGGCAGGGTTGCCCGCTTTCGCCGCTGCTTTTCATAGTCGTTTTGGAGGTCTTACTAAACGCAATAAGGCAAAATAAACAAATTAAGGGAATAACATTAGGTTCAAATGAATATAAAGTTAAAGCTTATGCTGATGATGTGGTTTTAACGGTGGAAGAACCTATAGATAGCATAAAGGGAATTTTGGAGGAGATGGAGGAATTCGGGAAGCTAGCAGGATTCAAACTGAATAAGAGCAAGACAAAAATGATCGTTAAAAATCTGGATCAAGACAAGATAGAACTACTACAGCAACAAACAGAAATCGAAGTTTTTAAAAAGGTAAAATACTTAGGACTCTGGCTCACTAACAAAAATATTGATCTATACCAAAATAATTACATCCCAGTGTGGAACGGAATTAAAAAAAATCTGGAGGTCTGGGCCAGGATGAAACTATCATTCTGGGGAAGAATATCGATGGTCAAAATGATGGTACTCCCCAAAATGTTATTTCTATTTCAAACGATTCCCATAATAAAAGGCACAAAAAACTTTAAAGAATGGCAAAAGGCGATCTCTAGATATGTCTGGGAAGGAAAGAAGCCCAGAATTAAGTTTAAGTTATTAACAGATATAACAGATAGAGGGGGCTTCGCCTTACCAGACATGAGATTGTATTATGAGGCTGTATGCCTTTGCTGGATAAAAGAATGGATAAAGCTGGAGGATACAGAGTTATTGGATCTGGAAGGGTATACGAACAGATTTGGGTGGCATGCGTACCTTTGGAGGGATAAAATAAGAGGGCATAAGGGATTCTGCAGCCATATTTTTAAGGGACCGTTGATAGAGGTTTGGAATAGATATAAGAATATTTTAGAACCAAAGACCCCACACTGGCTGTCCCCATTGGAGTTGATAAGTGTAAAGAAAGTTAATATGGAGAAAAAATGGGGCAGGTATGGAGAAATGGTAATGAAGGAAGGAGGGAAGTGGAAGGTAAAACCATACGATCAGGTTAAAATATATACATACGATTGGTTGAGCTACTTCCAGATAAATGAAATATTTAAAAAAGAGGTGAAAGAGAGGGGCTATGAAGAAAAGGAATCGACATTTCAGAGAGAGATAATAAACAATGATCATAAAAATCTGTCAAATATGTACAAAAGACTGCTAGAATGGAACATGAAAGATGAGGAAGTAAAAACTGTGATGACTCAATGGATAAAGGATTTTGGATACGACATTCAACTGGAGAATTGGGAAAAATTGTGGAAAGTGAATATAAAATTTACAGCATGTGTGTTATTAAGGGAAAATATGTTGAAGATGCTATACAGATGGTATATGACACCCGTAAAACTAGCTAAGATGTATAAAACAGATAACAAATGCTGGAAATGTAGACAAAAAGAAGGGACGTTTTATCATTTATGGTGGGAGTGTAGGAAAGTTAAAAGCTTTTGGGATGAAATCTATAATGAAATGAAAAAGATATTATGTTATACTTTTGTAAAGAAGCCTGAAGCTTTCTTATTAGGCATGGTGGGAAAAGATATTAAAAGAAAGGATTGTAAAATCTTCCAGTACGCGGTAACAGCAGCTAGAATTGTGGTAGCGCAGAAGTGGAAGCAGGAAGAAAGCCCAACGATAGCAGAGTGGAGACTAAAACTGACTGAATATGCGGAGCTGGATAAATTAACAGGGAAAATTAGATACAGTAAGGATCAAAAGTTTATTGATGATTGGGGAAAATTTGTGGGTTATCTGGAGAACAAATGTTTAGTAAATACAACGCTAGTGGGATTTAAAGAGGCACTGTAAAGCACTAATAAGTACTGCCTATTGGAAATAATGTATGAAGGGAGGTATGAATGGCAGTATGAACGATTGGAATGCGTTATAAAGAAGCAAATACGAATGAATGTCAATGACGTTGAAGGAAGTCCAAAATGTATGAGATGTATTAAATACGGATATAATGTATATATAATGGAATATAAATAAAATTTTAAAATGCAAAAAAAAAACAAAAAAAAAACAAAAACGGTTAATGCATCTTATTTTGTCCAATGTTAGGCGAGTCAATGAATTGAACACAAATGAGAGTGTAACATCTGTAGCAGGTATCCTGCATGAATTCTAATCCACTTTCAAAGTCATTGATTCCAAACAAGCCTAATCTAATTGTGGTGTATCCTATGCACTACTCATTTTTTTTCTTTCTTTTCAGTCCTAAATTAGCTGCCTATTGATAATATATACATGAGGGTGGAGCTAACTCAATCAAAAGTAATTCCAAGCAATGCATGAACCTTTCAAAAGGACGTTGGGGTAAATCTTATACAGTGGTACCTCAGGTTAATTCATTCCAGAGGTCAGTTCTTAACCTGAAACTGTTCTTAACCTGAAGCACCACTTTAGCTAATGGGGCCTCCTGCTGCCACTGCGCCGCTGGAGAACAATTTCTGTTCTCATCCTGAAGCAAAGTTCTTAACCCAAGGTACTATTTCTGGGTTAGCAGAGTCTGTAACCTGAAGCGTATGTAACCTGAGGTACCACTGTATGATCAATCAAACAGTTTGGTATCATTTTGAAAATCAGTCTCTGAAGCATGATACATAAGGCATATGCTTAACCTCAAGAGACATTGTACCAAAGTGTAATTGACAAATTAATCTGTGTCTGTGCAGTGAGCCAGATATTTCACCAACAGATTGAAAGCCCTTGTCTGCACTGTGTTTACTTGATCTTGTAGATGTCCTAGGCACAGACCAGTCTTTGTACAAGGCCATACAGGGATGAAGAGGCTTAGTCCCTTACCTTTATAATAGCATGAATTGTGTTTTATTATGCTTGGGGTATTCATTTATTCGAGTCAATTCAACATTAGCTTTGAGGCAATTAGGGATGGTTTCAATTTCGGTTCCTCTCAGTTTCTGATTTTTCCAAACTCAATTTCAGTTCTGCACATTTTTTTACATCTGTTTGTAATTTATTTATTTTTTTTTTTAAAAAAAATCCTCATGAAAATTCACCAGGATTTTGGAGCAAATTTATTCTAAGATACGTATTTTGTCTGTATATGGATTGCCTAATATACACATCTTTGTGTAGCAATTTCTAATATAATGCATATTTGCAAGCATATTCACAAATCTATGCATCTTTATATACACTTTACCCTAGTATATGCATTTTGTACACAGTACATTACTTGGCTAGACTTATATTACAAAATTTGGGGAAGAGTGAATGTCAAAAGATGACTGTGTTTCAGTTCACATGTTGTAATGTGAAATGGATCAAATTTCTTCCTCATCCCCAAAAGTAATTAATAATTGTATCGCCTAAGTGTACAGGGAAACTTGTCACAACAGTTTTCCTGGCTCTCTTTATATTTATATTATATTATATTATATTATATTATATTATAATATTATTATATTATTATATTATTATTATTATATTATATTGTATATTATAGGTTATGCAATTCCTTTTTACCTTCGGGGCCTCTCTCTCCCTTTTCTCCTTGTTCACCTCTTGGCCCTGGTGGACCAGGAAGTCCATCTCTTCCAGTAGCACCCGGCAGACCATTAGGAGGGCCCATTGGACCTAGAAGGAAACACAAGAACAAAGATATGCAAGGCACTCCTCAATGGTACACTATAGAAGCGGAGACTAAAGAATAATTTCAAGGCTGCAGGTGCCCTTCAAGGAAGCAGATTGCATTACAGTCTGCGTAACTCAATACCATAGTCCAATCTCCTTGGAATGATGACTCAGAAACCAAAATCTTACTATAGTATCTCTTGTCCCTGAAGATATAAAAACCTTATTTCATGGGCAATGAAATATGATGACACATCAGCTAACCTTTTTAGTGTGTGCACACAAATCACTGAATACCTCTTAGCTGCTCACTGAATATTTTGATCACATAAAAAAGGAACAATTTAGTTATTCTTTCTTTCCCAAAGTATTTTTTTGGAAAGAGTCAGGAAATCATCCTTCCAGTACAAAAGTAGAAGCAAACTAAGAAATCTCCTTTCTTGAATGCATTGCCTGATAATTCACATAGTTAACATTTTTTATTTGCTCGATACATTGAATTACCCAATCCAATTTTGTTTATGACCAAGCATAAGGAGACAGTCTTCAAATATCGGAAGGGCTACCACACAGAAGATGGGGTAGGCTTATTCTCTGTCCTAAAACATTAGGAGAATTGAAATACAAGGAGGCACTTCCAAACGGCAGTGCAACAATCTGCCTTGGGATGTAGTGGGTCTCCTTCACTGAATGTATTTGAGCAGAGGGTGCTGGGCAGCCATCGGTCAGAGATGTTGCAGTTGTGTCCTGCAAACCTCTGGTGAGTCAGTTTTCAATTCTTTTTGGTGGGTCACAAGTTATGCAGACCTAATCTGAACATTACTAGAGACCAGTGGGACCATAGTTTCTTGAAAACACCATGACTTTAGTTTTCTTGTAATTCACAGCCAGCTGTTCTCTTTGGCAGTATCCTGAGAATGCCCTCATCAATCTTTTTAGGCCCACTTTATGTGGAAAGGAGCTCTCATGATCAAATTGATGAATGTGTGTGTGTGTGTTTGTGGGATCCTTAATGGTCCCTGATCCCCACCCCAGTTTTACCCAAATCATGTTCCCTCCCCATAGCTCTCTGAGAACTGTAATTAAGGGGGATATCACAAAAAGTAAAGGAGCTGGGCCTTTTTTGACACTCTGTTATTTGAACACTGGTATGAATTGGTCTACAATCAGGTGTCTGTAAGATGCAATACTAGTTCATTACCAGCAATTTTTAATACTCGGCTTTGTATTATAATAACAACAAGTTGATACCTGGTGGTCCTGGGTCGCCTTTCATCCCATCACGCCCATCTCTCCCAGGCACCCCACTTGACCCCGGAGTCCCTGGGATGCCTGGAACTCCTGCACATTTGTCTCCTGCCTGTCCAAGACACGGAAGAGTAAAAACGGCGACTGCTACTGCCGCATGAAGGAACTGGGACAAGACTTTCATTTCTGACCAGCTGTAAAAAAGAGAGAGCATACATTTAAAATAGCACATCATTTCTCTCAGAATGAGCTCAGTCATAATATTCATTTAAAAAATAGTCAAAGCCGTTAGTTCTAAACTGTGAAACTTCAAATGTTAAATAATTTTTGTTTCGGTCATTCAAGGTGTCTCCATACTGCTCATCTCGAACAAAGACAAACGAAGGTCAATATTACAAAAGGAAATAATGACGATACAAGATGTTGCGATGAAATATTTCCAAATGATGATGATGATCATGAAGAAGGTGTTTCAGCCACTAATCTTGACCACTAAATGTTAACTGAAGTCAGCTTACCCTTGTGTTCCACCTGGATAGGAAAGAAGGTTTCAAACCATGCAATTTATACAGTGCAGCTGCACAGCTGGCTTGATACTCAAGTAGAAATTTGATATACACTTGTGGACGTAGATGGAAGTTTGGTAAGGGTGGGTTTGAAGGAGTCCTTGTATTATTAATGCACTCCATTTGCTTGGTAAATACTTCAGATATTATAAAGGACCCAGTGATGACATTTCCCTTGAAAACAGGAGTGGGAAACATCTAAAGATTTGTTTAGCAAAACGTGGAGGAAAATCTGCAGGAATAAAGAGGATGATTCCAAAGAACCGAAACCTCAATAAAAAGATATAAAGATTTACGCATTGAGGGAGGGTGAACGCCATTCAAAAAATTGAATGACTTACATGAAACTCAGTCCCTTTACAGTTAACACATCATACTTTTCATCCTTTGGAACTATTTTCCTGCAACACACTGCAGGAACATGGAGTGAAGGACCCTGTCCTGACATTCCACAGGGGAGGTAACCTTAACATAAGGGTTTGTCAAACATATAGAAGAGATTCCACAAAAGAGATTCCAAAGAACCAGCTCCTTATTCAAAGGTTAAAGGTAAAGGTAAAGGTACCCCTGCCCGTACGGGCCAGTCGTGTCCGACTCTGGGGTTGTGCGCCCATCTCACTTAAGAGGCCAGGGGCCAGCGCTGTCCGAAGACACTTCCGGGTCACGTGGCCAGTGTGACAAGCTGCATCTGGCGAGCCAGCGCAGCACACGGAACGCCGTTTACCTTCCCGCTAGTAAGCGGTCCCTATTTATCTACTTGCACCCGGGGGTGCTTTCGAACTGCTAGGTTGGCAGGCCCTGGGATCGAGCGACGGGAGCGCACCCCGCCGCGGGGATTCGAACCGCCGACCTGACGATCGGCAAGTCCTAGGCGCTGAGGTTTTACCCACAGCGCCACCCGCGTCCCATCAAATTCAAAGGTTACAAGTGGTTTAAAAGAGACAAGAGAAGAAAGTTAAAGTTTCATTGACAAATTAGAAATTAACAATTCACTGGGTCTAGGTGGAGTCCACCAAAAATATCTTATGGAACTCAAATGCGAAATTTCCAATCATCTAACAAAAATATGAAACATATCCCTCATGTTGGCCTTTGTACTCGAGGACTTGAAAGTGGCCAATGTACTGATTTAAAAAGGGAGGAAGGGGAGAGCCAGGAAATTTCAGGCCAGTTAGCTTAATATCAGTTCCAGGTAAATTGGTGGAAAATATTATTAGAGATAAAATTATCAATCCTATAGAAGAACAAATCCCACTGATAAGAAATCAGCATGGCTTCTGCAAAGGTTCCCCTGGCCTCGCTAAAGGTTGAAATTGTCAGCAAGTGTACAGATAACAATGATCCAGCTGGCACGATGCATTTCTGATTTCAGAAAGCTTTTAACATGGTTCTTCACCAAAAGCTATCAAGTAAATGTGATAGCTATGGGATAAAAGGAAGGGTCCCCTTATGGCTGACAAATGGTTGAAAATAAATGGACGGATGTCACAATGAGCTAGCTCCTTCAAGGATCTTTACTGGGATTCATGCTTTTTGACTGTGTCATGTGACAAAGACACATCAGAGCAGAAGCAGCAAAGGAGGCTGGGAAATGCTGGGACTGCACAATCATTTGGGCCTACTAAAGTTATTCAGTCCCAACTGCTAACTGTTGAGTCACTCTGACATGTGACTTAGCAGCCAGTTTTTCTCTGTGCTCTCTAAGTTTTCAGTTAGAGTCAGTCTGCCTCAGCTGTGAGCAGAGTCAGTGTGTAATCTAAGTCAAACTGTTTGGAACCATGTTGTTTATGAAGAAGTTTATTTTAATTCAGTAAAGCTTTTATTCTTTAAAACTCTGCATTATTAATTTACGCTGCACGTCAGACTGTTCATAAATGACCTAGAGTTGGGGTGAGCAATGAGGTGTCCAGTTTTGCCCCTCTCCCCACCAGCCATATTTGGAGACTTGTTGGCATTTACTGACTACCTTGGGAATTAGGCTTTGGTGGTCACCTAATTCACTTTGGGCGACTTTGGAGAAATCTTGCACTACCTTGGGCAAAATCTGAATTGCCCCCGAGCAATACTCTTTGATTCTGACTTCCTCTTGCCTACTAGTTATTTATCTGAAATATTTAGTGTAAGCAATCTCAAGGTGGCCTTTGGTCTGATCCGGTAGGGCAGCGGTTCTCAATCTGTGGGTCCCCAGATGTTGTTGGACTACAACTCCCATCATCCCTGAGCTCTGGCCTTGCTAGCTAGGGGTGATGGGAGTTGTAGTTCAACAACATCTGGGGACCCACAGATTGAGAAAGGCTGCGGTAGGGATCTTCTGATATACTTTAGCAGCTCCCATAATGCTCCATTCAGAAATAAATCGGGCCATTTGTGGTCCTCAGGAAAAGTGGGTTAACATGATGGTTTTAGGAATCCAAAGGGGTCAGTTTTGTACTGACCTCTGTATCTACACATCTTTCCCTGTGGTAATTAGTGTAACCATGTGCCACAAAGGGCAATTAACATTTAAAAATGTCTCACATAGGGAGAAGACATAAAGTTCAAATGTGCCATCAGTTTTCTGGGAAACAATACTCTCAACTTGACTGTGAACAAAAAGGACACAGTGTTCACTGTGTACTGCTCTTGATGATTCAAGCAGAAAGAGGACACTGCTGGCTGACCTTTAGCTATTGAGGCTGTAGAAGCTCACGTTCTCCTAGCAGAGAAGGTTGACTGGAACGCAGAAAATGCATTTATATCTCAGAATCCTCGCCTGCTGTGTTCTTCTGAAACCACTTTGTGAGTTGCAAAATGGGAATACATTTATAAAAGGGAAAAGAGCAGCAGAAGAAACTCAAGTGTCCTTGTTAGAAGTACTCATGCGTCCCAAGACCATAGAAGAGCCAAACAGTTAGAAACAAATAAAAACCTGCTTTGTACACAACATGGGAAAGATCTTGAGATGCAGCTACATCTCATTCTTATTTCTCTCAACAAACAGTGAAAGCAGAATTACCTCTCTGGAGAGATGGAGCTGCTCTGGAAGCAGCCACACTGCTGTTCAGTTCAAGCTACCTGTTCCTCTTCCGCAATGCTGTTTCATGGATAGCGCTAACTGGCTGGGCCCTGTGATACTATGATATCTCCTTTTGCCTCTGAATCCCTGGAATGTGAACTGCTGATAAAATGCTGGGCATTCTCATCAGCTGTGGCAGAAGCAGATTTAGGGCAGTGAGAGTGATGCAGCCGCACTGGGCGTGCAGCTGAGGGGGGCACTTTCTCAAAGCCCAGTAAGTGCTTGGCTTGCCCGAAGGAGGCATGAGAGCTCTGACAGGTTCCTAGAGTCCTCTTGTCTCCTTCCCCAAACCGGGAAAACACTTACCAGGTTTGGGGGAGGGGGGCTCTAGGACCCTGCCAGAGCCTGAATCTTCCTTCCCAAAGCCCAGTTTGAGCCAGGCAGAAGGCTAGGGTGGGGTCTTTCTGAGAGAAGGGAAAGCATAGCCTTCACACTAGATAAGTACCCAAGGTGAAGTCTGAACATTTTCTAGATGTCCTGTTGTTTGCTTCAGCAGGGGGTGAGGGCAAGCTCTGTGAACCCCTTTCTTTTCTGCAGCACAGCTGACCCACTCCATGAGGTGAATAGGGAATACTCTGTAGATGAGATATCCATGTTAAAATAAGTATCATTCTGCTCTACCTGTTCATGTAACAAAAAAATCTAAAAGATACATATAATACCAATATGTTAAATAAGATATCCTTTTCCATTTAACAATGGTGCTCAATTTCTTCACTATGCCTTTTCTTCCATTATCAGATCATTTTTGAATGATAATCCATCTTTTTGACTATCTGGCTATTATTAGTTGCCTTGTTCTAACGCCTGGGGGTCCCTATAATGGATATGTTCTTGCAGTCTGTGTAATTCATAATTCTGCCTTCCAGGCTTTAATATAATCTGCTAATTGAAAGAAAGTTTTTCACAGAAAAGGATATTAGTCCATTGGTGCAAACCAGCTTTGTTTTTAGGCTTGTTTTTTATGGATGAGAATTTTTAGGAACTTTGATAAGGTGGGTGGTTTTAGATAGAGTCATCCCCTCTATTTCCAAAGTTCAGAGGATGGTCCTGATGTACCCAGAGGGCACCATACACGCTGCCTGAGGGAGATATTAGCAGGCTCAGAGTACTCAATGGTCACTGAAGTGCAGAAAATATTTAGGGGGGAAACCCGTAAAGGGCTGTGGGGGGGGGCATCTCTCAAAACAGCCAAGTTAGAGAACTGAGCATGCCAACTGATTGCTGTTGGGGAAATGGAAGACTTTGGAGAGGAGAGATGTTGTACAGGCGTCTCCTCACTTATGTGGGGGTTACATTCCCAGGTACCATGTGGCTATGTGAAATAGTGTAGTGAAGAACACCATCTAAAAAGCCTGTAAACACCCTCTAAACCTCTGGAAACCCTTGAAAAACCCTTTAACAAACCCAACCAGCAGCACTTACCAGATAGGCATGAATGGTGGCAATGGTGGCTCTCAGTCTTCCTCATCGCTGGGGGACAGTGTGGAAATGACAAGGGGATGATGCAAAGGCTCATGGGATTGCAGTTGCAAAGGCTCCCGGGATTGCTAGCCATTTGGGTTTTTGTGCCATTTTTGCAGTTTTCCTGCTCTTTTGGGCTATTTTTTTTTGCACTTTTTGCACTTTATATTGATTTGTTTAATTATTTCATGGCACCATGTGTAGACAGTCATATGCGAGTCAAATGCGTGTAAGTGGAGAGATGCCTGTATTGTGAAAGAGGGTGTGGGCTAAATGACTCGAACACACAGACAGCGAAAAGGAGCATTCCACCCTGTAACATTATGTTTCAGGTCCTCCTTGTCCTGTCCAATGGCAGAGCAAGCCGATCAGGTGCCTGGGGCGGTGCCCGTGCCCTGCGCAGGATGCTCCACAGGACCTCCGAGGAGTCTGACTGCCTCCTCCCACTCAGGCACCCTACAGTTGAGGGGGAGGCAGCGGGTGGACCGTTTGGGGTAGCATGGAGCCTGCTGGCACCCAAGCCACCTTGTTACTCCCAGGAAGGATGCGTGGCTCGGGCGCGCTGCAGGCCCTGCGGTGAGTGCTTCCCGGCATTTTGTCACTCCCCTCAGTGGTGACACCCAGGACGACCCGCCCCCACCGCCCCCTTTCCTCTGCCCCTGGTCCTGTCTCTATGTCCCATATGCTTTTCAGGACTGATACATTTGCTGTAAGACAGTGGTGGTTTTTGTTGTGCACTTTGTAAGTTTTAGATAGCATAAGCCTGGAAGAATGAATCTTTCCAATGGATATAGAGTGAGGGTACTATGGTGCTTGCCAAACATCAAATCTCATCTCATAAGCAGTGGGTTTTGCTGACTGGTGTTTAGGCAAGCAACTGTCTGTCAGCACATAAGAGGCCTATGACATACATCAAACAGGCGCCACCTCTCCAGGATCGCCAACTTGAGGAGCACTATGGCTCTAGCCCCACCTGGGTGTCTGAACAGAAGCACCTTTTCCTGGATTCTTTTAACAAAGAGCATAATACAGATTTGATGGATTGTTTGGGCAAATCCTTAAACCATACTGTGAGGATTATGGCAATTTCCCATTTCCTGGTTGTAACTAGCAATATAGAAAAAATGGCTTTTTGAATTTTCATAATCACTCAAGAAATGACAGCTCTTCAAGCTTGCCTATGGCTCTTTGCTCATCTTTATCTGAATCACACACTGAAGCTCCTTACACACACACACACACACACACACACACACACACACACCCTTTTGAAAAACTAACTAATCGGAACTCCTGCAAGAGTTCCATTAGCACCATATGAACAGGCTCAGATTAGTGCTAATACAACAAATGTATAATTAAATGCGAAATTAAATGACCAGCAGGGACTTTCCAGAAAGCCTAACAGCTTGGAAGAGTAAGCAACATCCAGCCTTTGTGTTATTTAAGTTGCATTTAAAGAAAAGAAAAGAACAAGAGCTGTTCGTTCAGGCAGCAAAGTATTCAATACACATCTGAGTCATGCTGATAGCATTTTCCGAGAAGTAGCACATCATGAAGCGAATCAGGTGCCCTCTATTATCCCCTCTCCGAGGTGCTTTGGCACCTTCTGAAAAGAACAGCTTGCCAACAATGAGCAATTAGCAGTTTCGCCACTTTTGATTATATTTCTCTTTATAAAGAAACCAGACAACTTACAGGAAGTTGCTGTAAGGCACCTGAAGATTGATGTGCACCCCCCCACCAGACGCCTTTGCAGCACATGGTCCATGCTCATTATGTCGCTCACCTTCTGGATTGCAAAATTCAGGAAGGTGATGTTTAGAAGGGAGGGGGCTGTGTGGGAGGCAGGCAAGAGTGGGTTTTTCTCAGGGTGTGAGGCAGAGGAAAGAGGGAAACTTCCCAGATGGGAGCTGGGGAGATTCACTTCTTTGTATGTGGACAGAAGATTACGGTATAATTAGAATAAAGGTGTGTGTGTGTGTGTCTGTGTGTGTGTTTTATTGTTTCTGTTGTCTTTCTCCTCTCTTTTCTTTATTCATTTGCCTTCCTCTCTTTTCTTTTGTTTTTCTCCTTCATTCTTTCTTTTTTATTTCATTTGTTCTAGATATAATTGTATTGTATTGTGAAAATTTTAATAAAAAAATTATGCGATGGATTGCAAAATTCACAAGAAAAGACAAAATTACCCATGTTTCCCATGTGAGCTCTTCACTGGGGAAGCAACCTATGAAATGATATAATGCATTATAAAGTTTAATGACTGTGACGCTCTTTATATAAATAGAGCTTGCCATCAAAAACCATGAAAGCAAAAGCAAGCAAATAAAAACAAAACTGATTTAAACAAGGAACAACAAAAGCAGGGTCACCGGTGGGGGCGGCAGGCGGAAGGCTAGTGAGGTTGCTCACAACTTCCCCAGGTCATCTGATCATATAGAGATCAGGCTTCTATCCCTTGCTAAATAGAGGATTTCAGATAGAAATGAAGAGTGTGTGAACTTGACTGTGTGAACTTCACCCTTCCCTGCCCAACGGGCAGGGATCAGCATGTACAGTATATCCATTTTAACAACGGTGAAATCCAGCCAATCAGTGCTTCTGGAAGTGACACAGGGTGCAGGATTAACCCCCCTCCCCAGCTTCCCCATCAAACAACCTCTTTTTTTCAGGGACTATGCTTACATAGCTATGGCTGCCTTGCAAACACTCTACTGCAGGGGTCAGCAAACTTTTTCAGCAGAGGGCCGGTCCACTGTCCCTTGAACCTTGTGGGGGGCCAGGCTATATTTTGGAGAGAAAAAATGAATGAATTCCTATGCCCCACAAATAACCCAGAGATGCATTTTAAATAAAAGGACTCATTCTAGTCATGTGAAGACAGGCTGATTCCCGGACCGTCCACGGGCTGGATTTAGAAGGCGGTTGGGCTGGATCTGGCCCCCAGGCCTTAGTTTGCCTACCCATGCTCTACTGGATCAGAGAATGTTCAGACTGTCCCCACAGAAAGAACATGGACATGGACACAAAGATGTTCTGCATAAGCATGCAATGTGTCCTTTAAAAATAAAGAAATAGTAGTTCACCATAATGTTATTCAAATGTATTTATTTAGCACAGCTTGTCTTTAGACAGCTTTGTAGATGGCTGCCTGGAAGAATGCTGAAAACAACCCAGCCGCATGGACAATGCCTGAACGCATGAGTCTTTTCCTATACAATCAACTTCACTGCTCCCAGCACAGTGACAATTTTGTGAGAATCAATCAACCCTGGACCATTTGGTTGTGCCATTTAAACATTCTCCCAGGCATGTAGGAGCTGCCCACATATATCATTCGGCTAAATATGTTTTGCAGCTTTTTGTAACATTTCAAGAAGCTGAAAAAGCCTTTTGACCAAAGATTACTGTGGCACAAAAGCTGTGTGCGCAGAGCAGCAGAAAATAATCCTTCTGTCATGCTACTTTTAGCTATCTTAAAAACCACCCCTCTCTCCGCCACAAACTTAAAAACTGCAAATTTGCTGTGCCATTAAGTTAACAACTGTGAGCACGGGCACCCACAGGGTTAAGCATCTTCTGGGGGTGGGGGTGGAGAAGTTACAGTTCACAAACAGTCAGTGTTTTCCGTTCACAATCCAAATCGTTCCACTGTCCATCCTCAACTATTGTAACACAGTCCTCTTTATTACCAGAGTTATTGGGCTCTCCTTGTTTCCAATTTGTGTAACTTAGGGGTGCCCCATTTACATACACGAATCTCCCTTCAGTTTGGATATCGTTGATACCGAGAAAAACAATCTTCGAATTCCTCTTTACTATTTCCGCCAAGGCTGCATTTTCTGCTGCGTTCTTCGGGGTGGCAAGAGCTGCACCTCCATTTTCACACAGTCTTTTTCCATTGGAGTAAGTTAGTTCTTGACCAGTTGAAACAAAAAATTTCTCTCCGACTTTCACCTGCTGCAACATCACAACTAGACAGAGAGAGAAAAGCACAGCACAGTGAGAAGCACATGAGAAATAATTGCTGGCAACCTGAATAGTAACTGTTCCACACTTACCCACATGGGCACAATCCATCCAGAGTCAAGCACTTTAAACTACTACCAATTTGAATGGTAGACAGTTGACTATATGCTTCCCAATGAAATAAATGGGATATAAAGGCAATTCATTCTGGATAAGCCATGCCCTTTATAAACCTCCCCCAACTTGCTGCCCTCCAGATGTTTTGGACTGCAGCCACAACTCCCATCAGCCCCAGGTAGCATGGCCTGTTGCTAAGGATGATGGGAGTTGTAGTCCAACAACATCTGGAAGGTTCCAGGCTGTAGGAGGCTGCTCTTTAGGTTCATCAATATCCAACACACTGAGGAAAATCTGTCATTTTCCTCCACACCCCACCCACAGTAATCAGGGCTTTGAGTCCCATTGTCCCACCTCAAAAGCAAAACAGATTAGCACCCACTTAACCCAAATTTTGTTTTTTCACACATACAGAATGTTGAACAAGCTGATTAATAAAGGATCAATTTTGTTGGTTGTAAAATCTGCATGGGATGACATGATCACCTCACTTTTAGTGTGGAGAGCATAACCTGGCTCTAAGTAATATAAAGAGATGAGACGATAGTAGAAAGTTTGCAACATATGAGCTATTGACAACACAGACTGACTCCTTTATATGGGCAAATCTTAGTTAGGCCCATCTGTACTATACATTGAAAGTTGTATCATACCATTTAAACAGTTAGGGCTTCTCCCCAAGAGTCCATGCATACCTCGCTATTAGCTTGTTTTTTTTTGCACTCGCACTCACACACACAACACAAGCAACCATTTAAAAACAAATATAAGAACAAGCATTGAAAATGCATATTCCATCTTACTCTTTTTATACTTGGTAAGGTCAGCTTGAAGAGTTTGGATTTTCTTTTCCAAAGCAGTTAATTGTTGTTGAGTAGAAGTAATGGCTAAGGTGAGAAAATGAAGATATGGTTCATATGGTTAAGCACAAATGATTTATATTGAAAAGTTGCCACCCAGACCATTAACAATTCCTGACTCTGTACTACCTGCTGTCCTTTGTCACCCGTGTATCAATTATTTTTATATGACATTTATATCCTGCCTTTCCTCCATAATATAGCTGAAGGCATTGAGGGTCCCAGGTGCCCTAGTCAGGGACTGACTAGATCCAGTCCTACTTAGCTTCAGCCAATGTTCCTGCATTATGTGCCTTCAGCCCATTCCTTGGGGCATAAATGCTCACATTCACAAACACAGAAGCCCTCCTGCCTAAAAGAGAGATGCAAAATATAGTGAAGTAAGAAGAGAGATAGGGACCGCTTGTTCACTGGGGGCAGAAGCAAGAAGCATCAGGCATGCACTTGCCAAACTGGTGTTCTCATGATGTTTTGGACTACAACTATCAGTGCTGGTTGTGGCTGATAGGAATTGTAGTCCAACACATCTGGAAGGCACCAGGCAGGTGAAGGCTGAACTACAGGAAAGGAGGTTTTTTTTGTTTTTTGTTTTACTAATGTTTAATCCAATTATAGGACCAGTTCAGCAGCAGATTAAGCTGCATAGAGAGGTCTGTGACTTTCTTGGAAGCATTTCTCTTGGGCTCCTGTTGCGGTCCTAAAGCAGTGATGGCCAAACCTGGCCCTCCAGCTGTTTTGGGACTACAACTCCCATCACCCCTAGCTAACAGGACCAGTGGACCAAGGATGATGGGAATTGTAGTCCCAAAGCAGCTGGAGGGCCAGGTTTGGCCATCACTGTCCTAAAGGATCTACATTGGTTTCTGGTATGTTTCCAAGCACAATTCAAAGTGTTGGTGCTGACCTTTAAAGCCCTAAACGGCCTTGGCCCTGTATACCTGAAGGAGCATCTCCACCCCCATAGTTCAGCCTGGACGCTGAGGTCTTCCTCCAAGGGTCTTCTGCTGCCCTCACTGCAAGAAGTGAAGTTACAGGGAACCAGGCAGAGGGCCTTCTTGGTAGTGTTGCCCTCCCTGTGGAATGCCCTCCCACCAGATATCAAGGAGATAACTATACAACTTTTAGAAGACATCTGAAGGCAGCCCTGTATAGGGAAGTTTTTCATGTTTCATGTTTTATTATGTTTCCATATGTGCTGGATGCTGGTTGGGCTGGGGTATAAATAATAATAATAATATTAATAATTATTATTCCTGATTTACAGTAGATTATCCATGGAGTACTTTCAGATTTCTGTGGTTCAGTTTATACATCCAGCAGGCTCAAAGTGCTTGCTCTATGTGGGTCTGCTGCAGCCAGGTTCATGCTGTGATGATACGAAGACATCATTGTATGAATTGCCCCCTCCACATTAGTTTATCCACAAGCCACTCCTGTTTAAATGACGATGGCATCTTTAAAAGGTGCCACTTGAATAATGGGGAACAGGACGGCTCTGAATGCCCTAACCCCATTGTGACACTGGTTGACATAAATGGTGCTTCTACATGAACCCACTGATGTATTTTCAGATGCAATGGCTTGGGGGCCACAGGATACATTTTGGCCCTATGATATTCTAAGCAAAGCTTTCACTGAAGAATAATTATCATGCAAACCATTCACTGGCCTTCACAAAGAAGAGGTTATGTTGGTCTTGAAGTGCCCATTCATGTCTTCCTGAAAGCAAACTTAAGCACCAGAAAGTTGATTTCTTACCTGCCATTTCTCCCTTTTGTCCTTTCTGGCCTGGGGGCCCTGCAATTCCAGGCAATCCAGGAGGCCCTGCCTTCCCAGGAAAACCCTGTTGGCCCCTCACTTGGACTCCTTGTGTTTGAGAAAAAGAAACAGCTTTTGGATACTATTTCCCCATAACAAACAGCCAACAAGGAAAAAAGGTCACTTTAAATAATACACATTCACACTCTTGATGGCAGCCTTCATGACAAGATGTTCCTAGCGCTCACCTTGTACTCAGCTGATAATTGTGATTCTGTTCTGATGCCACTGCAAATCATCACAATTGTTTATTATCTTCCTGGTTCCTATATATTTACCCTGCTCACTCTGTTCCCTGACTCCCCACCAGCTCTGCCTAGATTTGCTTTGCTCCACAATCTCTCTTCCACCACACAGTGCATACATGCACTCAGCACATAAATACAGACCAGGCATATCTCCCTCTCCTGCCTCCTCTGTCTCTCTCGCACATTTCACATATACACAGCTTCACATACAATTATACCTTCTGCCTCTCTCCCTTCCCCAGACAATGCGCTCCCCCCCCAAGTGCATCACTCCCCCCATCACATAGATCCTTCTCTCTCTTCCCAAGAGGATCTCTGCACTACAAATCCGCCTTCAAGCTGTCTGAGAAGCTCAGTGTGTAAATAGGTTTAGAACTGGTTGCTCCAAGCTCAGACCGCATGGCTCTAACAAGCCTTTCTTGTGTTCCTATACTAATAATGTAGGAACCTTCACTAGTGTAGTTAATCCAAGTTTTATTGCCTGTGTGTTCTGACTGATGTATGGAAAGCACATGAACCCGACATTTGGAGAGTTTGCAAGTAAGCCACTTTTAACTTACCAAGCGTGTGGTCTTTTCTATGCTAAGGGAAGAGGGGAGTTTTGGAACTCACACGGGCATATTTCAAAGGTCTAACATGCTTTACTTTCCTGCATATGTTGTGATTTAAAATATCTGCTAGGGTTCGCTCAACAAAGAGTATCAGCCCCAAACTGGGATCTTGGCATCCAGGAATCCTTCTTTTTTAGACCTATTTTTCCCTTGCCAGCAACAGGGACAAGGGAAGCTATTTAGTCACTTCTCTCTCCCACCTCCAATGCTCAAAGAAAAGAGCTTGGAAAAGTGCTCTGAAGCACCCAGCCACCACTCAAAGCAAAAACATCCAGGGCTTGCTTTTCAGAACCATGGAGACAGTCCGCACCCTGTCCCCATGCCTTTTGGGACCTTGGAATACAGTATGACGTCAATGTAAGCAAATAGAGGAAGGGGCGGGAGAGAGAGAGAGAGAGAGAGAGAGAGAGAGAGAGAGAGAGAGAGAGAAGGGTTAAATACATAGCAATATGTAACCACCCTGCCAAGTGACACACACACATGAGAAACCCAGCTGAGATATAGATGAGCTGTCATAAGGTGCCAAAGATTACCATATAACTATATGGAGATACCTTGGTCTCCCTTCTCTCCTTTGGGACCATCTCTCCCATCTCTTCCCGGTAAACCGGGGATTCCTGGGTTGCCACATGCCATTACTGTGCAAGTGTTTGTTTCAGAATCAGTGGCCAATGCCGGCGATGTTCCCAGCATCAGGGCGATGAAAATTCGAAGATACATTGCTGATACCTTAGACAGATAACCAGTTAAGAGGAAATTATTTTGAGATCTTTTAGAGGTTACCTATGGCCACTCTGCTGTTCTTTCTCTGCCAGTGAGAGAGGACTCTCTCTTGGCCTCTTAAGATGAGACTCTCAGAAAGCCATCAGCCCACCTGTCGGTGTGTTTTGCGCCATTGAAGGACATTGGTCAATTTGAATTCTGAACAATTGTTACTTTACCCAAATGATCTTGGTGTTATAGCTGTGTGAGACAAATGCTGTTGGTTGGAGAATTGTAGGTTCTGCACAGAACTACAGTTCTGGTAAATGAGCCACTGTGGCTGCTTGAGGACCATAAAAATTTGTGTCCTGGGCTTTTCAGACTCATCTACCCATGTACTATCTGAGACCAAAGGGGCACATTGGTCCCCCCCCCAGCTCTCCTACCCCCACTACTATAAATAGTATTTCAGCTGTCATACTAAAACAGATGTGTCAAATAAGACAAGTTTATCTGATTAATTGTCTGCCTTTGAACCAATCCATTGCTTAATCAAATAAATTTAAATAAATGCCCATATTACCAACTCTTCATCGCCAACAAAATAAAGCCTGTTGCATATTGCAAGGAAGACATTTAATATTTTATTTGCATTCCCTGTCACAGGCAAACATCCAAAAAAACATGCCTCTAATTCAGTCCCACAAATTAAAGCAATTTAAAGTGGAATGGTAAATCAACTAACAGCACACTTCTAGATCTGTCTATTCCAAGATAAGTTCTATTGAATTCAAACTTTCTCACTCCCAGGTAAATGGGTTTAGGATTACATTCAGGCTTATTCTGAGATGGGGAAACAGCAGATGGATTAAACTATTTTGTAGAACTGGAGGAGTTTAACAAGCAAAGTTTTCATCCAGCATTAATCTGAAGCAGCATTACTTACCGGTTCCTCATATGTTTCCTTGATCAAATGAAGCAGCTCAGCTGATTTGAAGAGAGATGAAGGCTAGCCAAGAAAGGGGAGGATTTCTGTTTTGCTTAGAATGGTGGGGAAAAAATCAGTAGAAAAATCCCATAGATAAGTATGTTTTATTTTATCTCTGTGGATTGCAAAATTGTACTTTATACACCAGCACTTACTGGCACGACTGCATGAAGTGTTTCAGCATAACCTTTTCCCCCCAGTCAATTTACTGGAAAACAGGGACAAATTCTAGAACTTGCCCTTTCGTATAATCACTGGAAGTGCTTCTCCCAGCAAATAGATCTACAGACATCTTATAGAACTGTGATACAGAAATCTGTTATATTATGCATTATAGAGATACAGAAATCTAAAATGCTTTATACTTTTTGCAGCATTATCAGAAAGCTTGGGCTGTCAATCTATAACCATTTTTTAACCTTCTGATGAGTTTGTTCAGAGTAACCTTCCTTGTAAGCTCTCAGATAAGTAAGATAGGTGGAACCAAAGGGAAGTAAACATGTTTTTGTTAAAACCATCCAAGTTTCCCAAAAGTAATGATGATTAAATCCACATATGACCTCTCCATGCAGTTAAGCAGAGTTCCAGAATATCTGGAGAGGCCATAAAGCTCTTTGCAAAAGATTAAGCTAGCAGTGAACAGTAGCTTTAAAGCCAGTTGAAACTGAGGAAAAGAGGGTGGGTGGTGAACAGATATCTATCCTCGTTTCAACACTAGGCCCTGTTTCCGGTCACAGAGGATATTCCCTATTCAGAAAGGCTGGATGTAGCTGATGCCATCCCAGCTGTTACACCAGAATCTAAATTGGAACCTGGGAAGTATTTTTTTCTTTCTTTCCACCCTGAGAAGTGTTTTGGAACCTAAGGCGAAAACACAAGAACAAAAAGAGCAAGTTCAGGTAGCCACACCTGAGAAAGAAGAAGGGTGGATCTACACTCATGGTTTATAATGTTAAGGAAGGGTTAAGGAATGGTTTTCATAGCGTAGATGGACACATTGTGTTCCGCTTTTAATGCTCATAATGCGTTATCAAAATGAGACACCAGAGGCCACTGCAGAGCAACCAGGAACCAGCAATAGGGAAATTAAGTTTTGACGGACAAAACAAGGTATGAAACACTTTTAATCTACAAGTCTGCCCTGTAACCTTTTAGAATGATATATCTAGTATTCTAATAAAGTTAAACACGTCCCTTGTAGATCCAAGCAAAGTAAATCAAATCCCATTATTCTTCATTGAGCAGGAACATCATAGGATCAGGCACTGCCAGGAAGTAGGGTGGCTGTGGGTCCTACTTATTGGAAAGGGTCCTCTTTTGGAAGGGTAGCCTGATTCAAGTATAAATCACCATAAGGATGGAGAGCAGGGACCCATGAACAGGTAGCAGCACCCTGAGCAGCAGATTGACACAGCTCACCCGATCAGTCTTCCCCACAAGCCCACCATGGTGAGGTGTGCTCTGTTTATATCCAAATTATTGCAAGCTTTATGCAAATGTGTGTCATCTTTTGTACTCTTTTTTTGATGACTTGTACATGGCTACCCCAGCTGAGGGACTTTCAGGAATGTGGAGGGGACAACAAAGTATATCACAGGGTAACAGATTAATAGAATTGCAGAGTTAGAAGGGACCATGATGGTTATCTCCTCCTGCAGTGCAGGAATCTTTTGCCCAGCATGAGGCTCAGACCCATGACCCTGAGATTAAGAGTCGCATGCTCTACCGACTGAGCTAACTCAGAGTTTTCAGGTATAACTGCACTAACCGGCAATAATACAAAGGCTTCCTTCCCACTGGTAATAAATATTTTGTCTCCAACTTTATTTACCACTCCTGTCAAAACGAAGGCAGCATAAGAGAAGAAAAGTAATGGTTTATACAGTCAGATCTAAGGATTATTCACACGCATGCCCATTAGGCAACAGAGGCTTGGAATGGAGACAAGAACATCTTGGGACACTGTCCCACAAAGCTCAGAATGTTTAGCAACAACCTTTTCTCCTTCTGTTTCAATATTCATGTTACATGATGGGCTACCATAGTCTCAACAGGGGTTTGGGCCTTGAGCTTCTCAAACAGCAGCTCTTCATAGCAAACCACATTTGAAACAGCAAACCACCTTTGAAACCAAGAAGGCTTTCTAAGGTAGCTTGTGATGTTTGCAGAGAATCTGCTCAAGCTCTTTGGACCTTGGCCCATGTTTGTTAGTGACAAATATAATCCATTGTCATTGCCATGACACACATCACGTGGAAAGAAGGGGGGGGGATAAAATAAATGCATGATAACCATTCTTACACATATATGCATCCACTAGTCCATCTTGAGGTTCCAACTGCCAGAAATCTATTATTTTAATGACTGTTCCTTAATTCAAAACATGTTAGTTGCTCAAGAACATAGGGCAAGTTCCTTCTTTCAGAGACCTACCACTCCATTGTGTAGTATCGAGAAAATATCAGGTTCTGAAATGCACTTTAGATTTGAAGTTTCAGGTGGATCTAAGGCATTAATTTGTTTAAATGTAGAATTTAATCCTAGATGGGCCGTTGACCTGATCCAGCAACTCTTCTTGTGTTTTTGTTTGATCTGTCAGATGCTGGACATTGGAGTGGTTTTGTTTTGCTTCTGTTGTATATTTGTTAAACCTTGCAACTCAGAGAGAGGAAAAGACTGGCACTCTCAATGGAGTGTTTTTCTGAGGATGTCATGAGATGACAGAGATAACAAAGATGACCTTGAGATAACCTAGGGTTGTCCTTACCTGAAGTTGGCCTTACAAGGAACATGTGTTTGCTGATGAAAGTGCAATGCTCCTCAGCAAGATAGGGTGAGTATTTAGGGCTTTAACTTATAGTATTGTTCAGTCAGAGGGAAGATCTGAAAGACTGATACAGCTGACTGACTCATAATGTGACTCTGAAGGTGGCATCATAAAGTACCAGGGCTTTTTTCCCAGCCAAAACTTGCTAAAACTCAGTTCTGGTACCTCTCAGGTGGGCATTGTTGCCATTGTAAGAGAACAAAGTGAGCTCATGGTGAGTTCTGCGAGATCTCTTTCTAGAAAAATAGCACTGTATAGAACCATGTTTGATTTGTTCATTATGGCTGCACTTTAGCTCTTACTCATCACTGGAGTAAGTGTAGGAGAAGACGGTTCAGGCAAGAGGGATGACATGGGCTGCACCAGGCTGTATAGATTAGACAGGTGTGGAATGACTAATCTGTACTATATCCACATTTTAGAGCTGGCAATGTAACCCAGTGAACTATGCCTCCATTGACAAGATTACTTGCGAGTCTCCATATCTTGGCAACAGGTTCTTTTCACAATGCAAGTTGTCGCAGGAATACAAAGAAGGATAGATATTCTGCTATGCAAAAGTGGCCCACTTTTCCTAGGTTTTTCTGTATCCCCAAACTGGTGAGCAATAAGGTCCTGCTTCTGATGGTCAGAAGTTTAGCAGGGCTGTTGGCCTGGTTGAAAGGAGACAACAAGAATCAGAAAATATTCCTCTATGCCACAGGAGCGGCAAGGATCCTAATTGCTAAAAACTGGAAAAAATAAACTGTGTCAACAAAAAAAGAATGGCAAGACAAACTGTTAGGGTATATTGAACTGGCTAGATTAACAGAGGCAATTAGAGATCACACTAGATAAGAGTTTCAAAAAGGATGGGGGAAATGCAGAGAATACTTCACAAAACAGTGCCCCAAAATACATACCTGGACTTGTTTCGATTAATGTCTGCAGGAGACTTTGTGGATATTTAAGTTATAATTAGAAAAATCTTAATAATTATTCATAAAGGAAACAGTTTATAAGAAGTAAAAAAGGAGGCCAGATACAGGATAAAGGAAGTCTTTTATTTCGTTGTTTGTATTGTATGTTATGCTCACTGTATGTTATGTTCACGTTTAAAGAGGGTGGATTGTGTATTGGGGGGTGGGGAGGTTTATGTTATGCTGTAAATAAAATTCCAATAAAAATTATTAGAAAGAAAGAAAGAAAGAAAAGAAAGAAAGAAAGAAAGAAAGAGAAAGACAAGAGATAGCTAGTTCTGGAACAACCCAACCTATGTCTGAGAAACAAATAGCGCAAACCTGGAAGAAATGTCAGAGTCAGTAGCCTTATGCGATCAACTGGAAGTCTTTTGGCCTCTTGTGTTGGTAGCTACAATTACCGCTGACCACCTGAAATGATGGTGAGTGTTGTTGCTCTGCTATTTCTTTCTTCAGCAAGCTCCTGTGCTGGTACAGAGAGCAACATTCCTGAATCTGAATACTAGAATCACTGGTACGATTCCTTGAGCGCCTTATGAAGTTACGCCATGGTCTGAGCTGGAGTAGCCTTTGTTATATGTTCTTGTGCAGGTGAGGAACAATTCCTTGAATTGGGCTATAGAGAAGAAAATGGCAGTTTTGCATTTTTGGGACTGGTTGAAAAGGCATGTGGGCGTTCCAGTGTAGTTTCCTTGTTGTTACCATGGGGATGGATGTTGCCTGAATGTCTGCGTACTCATAGCATGTATTTTTTATTCTTGGACATGCTTTACTAGAAATCACAAGCCTCACATTAAATTTGCCATATTCTTTCTGCACACAGTCAGGTAAAGGAAAGTAGCATCTTGAATATCACTTGCGCAACTTACTGTTCAGGCTAGAGGGGTACTGAATTTTGAAAGAATTAGAACAAACTATTCCTTCACCTCACAAACATGGCCACCCCTGCACCTCCTGATTTTAGAATTCACAAATGACTAACCACTCAAGTGTGCAGCCTCTGTCATGCCATTTGCCATCTTGATGCATTTCTACACAGTCCTCGTTGCCAAGATTATTTGGTTCTCCTGGGGCCCAGTTAGAGTACCCAATGACGTCACCATTCAGGTACTCAAACCTGCCTTCTGTCGCCATGTCATTGATCCCAAGGACTGCTCTTCTGTTATACCAGGTCACTATTTTTTGCAGGGCGCTGTTCTCTGCCGCATTCCTTGGGGAGGCAAGTGCGCCACCCATGCGCAAGCAGGTCTCACGCGCAGCATCATAATCACCTCTGGATCCATCTGTTTTGAATACCTTCTCACCAACCATCACGCCGTTGGGGGCAAGGAGAACTAGAAAGAGACAGGATTGCAAGGCTTTCAATCTAATACTGTAAAACGCCAGGTGCATTGATGGTACGGGCAGCATTTTATATTTCAGTGGAAGGAGAAAGGTTCTCAGTGTGGTTTAAAGCAGAGGAGAGGATGGGAGTAGTGGTTGCACAACGTATGGATGGCCATCGGCCACGGGTTCCCCATCACTTTTGTGAACTCAAATTGCATCAATAGTAAACTTGAGATGGCAAGAGCTGAGAGGACTCACTTTGTAGGTGAAGATTAAGGTATAATTATGATAGATATATAATTTTATTTTTTATTATGATTATGATAATTGATATTATTAATGTTCTTATCTATCTGGTTCCTCTTTTTCCCTTTAACTTTTCTTGTTCTTTTCTCTTTTAATTTTGTCTTTCTGATCCTATTTGTTCTAGGTATTATTTTACTGTATCGTGAAAACTTTAATAAAATATTTTTGGGGGAAATAGTCAACTTGAAGCTATATCAGCCTATTTGACAAAAGCAAGCAATAATTTCCCTTTCTTACCTTTTTGAGTTTTGGTGATGGCAGATTTCAAACCCTCCAACTCTGTTTCCAAGCCCCTTATTTGTGTTTTAAGGCTTTCCAGCTCTGAATGAGAAAATAGTTGCATTAGATTTCCTGATCAACTGCAAACTCCAGAAGTGAACTTTTTCAAAATATGTATGGATAACAATCTATGGCCAAGCTTTCATGTAGCTACAGAGCTGTAGCTTTCATGTAGCTACAGAGTCCATCATTTGAGAACAGTGCACCTACTGTAAAACTATAATGTGCCAAGTGGTCCTCAGCTGCTCATTCTTTTAGGTTATTCAAATATTTTTTTACTGTATACAAGAAGCAGAATAAACTTCCTCCTCTTTAAAGAAGTCGAAGGGTGTTTGCCAACAGAAACAATAGCTATTCTGTTTCCCAACGTTTAGTATTTCTCTCCTGTTCTGCCTTCTGTAGGAAGGAAATGTAATACAAATAGTTCTTGAGCTCACTCATCTTGGCTGGTTCACTTGGAAATTTTTCTTCAGGTGCAAATTTTGTTAACTTCCTGGATGGCGAGTTGAACTTAAATGCCCTCTTGTTTGGAGATGGAATTAAAATAACCTCATGTTAATAATTGCAAGTGACAGATTTGTGCAGCCAACTATGGGAAGAGAGAGAGACGTTTTTGTGGAGAGTCTGTGCAAGTTTTTGCCCTGCAACAGGACAATAGTAGGTCCAGCTGAAGCCCTCTGGGGAAAGGGGAAGGGAGAGGACTCAGAGAAACTGCCAAGAGGTTTGCCTCTTAGGGTTGGGACAGTGTCTGCTGTGCAGCTTCTTTTCTCCCAGAGCTCAGAAAGTGCTTCTGTCTAAGGACCAGTAGCCCTGTGTGTTGGCTCTTAAGATTGCACTATTTATTTATTTATTTATTTATTTATACATACCCCACCCATCTGGCTGGGTTTCCCCAGCCACTCTGGGCGGCTTCCAACAGAATATTAAAATACAATAGTCTATTAAACATTAAAAGCTTCCCTAAACAGGGCTGCCTTCAGGTGGCATCTAAAAGTCTGGTAGTTGTTGTTCTCTTTGACATCTGGTGGGAGGGCGTTCCACAGGGCGGGTGTCACTACTGAGAAGGCCCTCTGCCTGGTTCCCTGTAACGTGGCTTCTTGCAGCGAGGGAACCACCAGAAGGCCCTCGGCACTGGACCTCAGTGTCCGGGCAGAACGATAGGGGTGGTCAATATTTGGATGTGGCTTCTCTTTTTGCACACACTGACATCACCACATCGGGGGAAGAAAGCCGACAACTGCCCCCCCAGAACCCCTAAGTGAGAAATGTCCACATGTGCACACCAGATTAGTAGTAACCACAACGCAGAGTAGTAACCAGGGGGGCCACTAGGGGCGCATTGGAAGATGGCCGACAATAACATCTCTCCGACCCACACAAGGTAATTAAGAGGCTGTGATGGGAGTATGCAGCCTCCCTGCCCCCCCAAGGGAATGGGGGGACTGCCCTTGCCTGCTGTGCCCATATACCACCCCCGAATTCGAGGGGGTGGGGGCACTAGGCAGAAAGCCCTTGTGTGGACTTTGGGTCTCCTGGACGCTGTCTCTGATTCGCTCCACTAGATGCAGCAACTTCAAAAGAAACAATTAGGAAGAAGCAAATGCACATATTTCAAGGAAGAATGGGGAGTAAAGACTGCTAATTGAAGGGATCTCTGAGAAAGAAGACGGGTCGGATAAACAGGAATATATCATGAGAAGACACATCAAGGCTCGGTATGTTGGCAACGGGACTGGAAGGGGGGGGACTTTCCTTTCTTTCTTCTATGTGATTAACCAATAATCCCCCCTCACAAGTCAGAAATGCTGCTTAAATGACCTAAGCTGCATGATTTAAGACTGTGTGGAGATAATTTCTAACCAAAAGCATGTTTTAAGGAGATTGTGGAAACTACAAGAGCTTTGGGATGACGCAGTAAAAACAGCATCACCATTTTGGCAAGTTCTGTCAAAGATTTATGTCTGGGAGGAGGAATGCATTTGTTTTCATACTGTGGGCGAACCTCCTCAGAGGACTAAAGAAGGCAACAGATTTGCGAAGATTAATGATGGAAAGAGTGCTTTTATTTATGGAAGTGATGATATATGGAAACCATCTCGATATGGTTATTGGACGGACGGAAAAATTCACACAGGATTACAACTTGTGTTTACCTGCTTAAGGAGATTATCAGAAGAGATCACAAAGAAAAAAGAAAAATATATGAAAATAACAAGATGAGATGTGGGAACAGCAAGATAGGATTGGATAGAATTGTGAACATTATTTGGACAGATTTGTGGACATTAATGCAGCAGCAAGAAGATGATTGGAATCCCCTTCGGAACTTGAAATATGGATACCCCCAACAAAAATTTAAAATTCAGCTTTGTAATTCGGAATTTATGTGACGTGATTGATTTGATTTGATTGGTCGGTTAATAAAAATATATTTATATATTTATTTAAAAAAAGATTAGTAGTAACCAGGGCTTTTTTTTTCCCAGCCGGAACTTGCCGGAACTCAGTTCCGACACCTCTCAGGTGGGCGCCATTGCCATTATAAGAGAACAAGGGAGGCATTCATGGTGAGTTCTGACACTTCTTTTTCAAGAAAAATAGCACTGGTAGAAACCATACAGAGGCATTTTTTTTTTAGAGGAAGAGAGTTGATTCAGAAGGAGAGAGCATCTTTCCTCATGGAGTCATGACTGGCCCAGAAACCAAAGGGATATATTTCTTCCTCACTTGACTTTGAGAAGTGTCTGCAGACTTTCGGCCTAAACTTCAAGTCTTTGTATCACTTTTTTGCTAATCTCAATATGAGGCGGTTTTGAAATTCGATCCTCAATATACTTGCACATTGTAGAAGAAAACACTTTCTTCCAATCTATTTGATTGGAGCAATTGTAATTATGTTAATACTTTTCTTGCTGATTATGTGCCAGTTATGTGTTATACAGTGACACATTTCACTTTGACCAAATAAAAACATAAGGAGGTCAAACAATGCAATTGATATTGGATGGACTACTAGCTCTCACCCTTGACTACCTCACTGGTTTATTCTGATAATAAATGAGCAAAATGGTGTCAATTGCTTCGTATACTGAAAAAGAGCAGAATGAATTGTTGTCATCATCTTTGTCCTCCTGGTACTTTGTACATCGAGAAAAAAAAAGTTTACCCCCCCCCCTTTAGATTATAAATCTCTGGTAGGGCTCATATTATTTTTTATTTTTGTACAGTGCCTAGCTGTGTTGTTGCTGATGACAATAATAATAATAACAACTGACAACAACAGCTTTTACCTGGAAGATTACTGTTTCCACTTGATCCCTTTCCACCTATAGAGCCTTTATCTCCTTCTGAACCAGGAATGCCAGTTGGTCCTGCTGGACCCTGTAGTCCTTGGGGTATTGGTAATCCTATAAAGAAGACCCAAATCAGTTAAGTGATACGCGACTTAAAAACAACAACAACTCTGTTTTATAGTGCCTATCATTTGAGGTTACGTAGACAGTACTCCACACTCTTTTGTCAGAACAGTCACCTTGTCTCCAATGAGATTTTACTTGAGAATTGTGCCTCAGAGTTCTTTGGCTCCTATACTATTGTCCGTTAGTTAAGTGCTGATACCATAGTCCTCCATATTCAGGCATTTATTAGTTCTATCTGTGGAAGGGCCACAGAGATGTAGGGAGCTGTGAAGCAGACCAGCCTCTTCCTGCTTTGCCAGTTTGATTGGCTCCAGTACCAGCCACGAAGAAAGCAGATTGGTGCAGTGTTCATAGATCACAGAAGAGTCGGAAGGGACCCTGAGGACCAACCCCCTGCAATGCAGGAATATGCAGCTGTCTCATATTGGGGATCAAACTTGCAAAGCTGGCGTTATCAGCACCATGCTCTAACCAATGGAGCAATCCATCAGTTGGGATAGCTACCAACTATCCAGCTATCCCTTGGCTTCCCCAGTCCAATATCAGAAGCCTGGTACCCTTTGCTAGCCTGAGCAAAGGACACTCGAGTGCACAGAATGCGGCGAGGGGCAAGACCTGGGTAGGGCCTGGCAAGGTGGACTGAGAAGACTGGTGGGTTGCATTTAATCAGTGGGCTGCAAGTACCTCAACCCTTCTGTAGCATGTTAAACACCAGCTTGAGCATTGTGGCAGGAGCTTTTCGCTTATTTGATCTGCTATATGTGTCTTTGTCTGATTTTAGTGCATGTGATGAAGTAGCCTGTGGTTTACCTAAATTACAGCAGCACTACACCACAGAGCCTAGGGCTTGCCGATCAGAAGGTTAGCAGTTCGAATCCCCATGACGGGGCGAGATCCCGTTGCTCGGTCCCTGCTCCTGCCAACCTAGGAGTTCGAAAGCACGTCAAAGTGCAAGTAGATAAATAGGTACCACTCCGGCGGGAAGGTAAATGGCGTTTCCGTGCACTGCTCTGGTTTGCCAGAAGTGGCTTAGTCATGCTGGCCACATGGCCCGGAAGCTGTACGCCGGCTCCTTTGGCCAATAAAGCGAGATGACCGCCGCAACCCCAGAGTTGTCCGTGGCTGGACCTAATGGTCAGGGGTCCCTTTACCTTTACCTTTATGTGTTTTTGTTTTATTTTAGTGCATGTGATGAAGTAGCCTGTGGTTTACCTAAATTACAGTAGTTAGATATTCTAGCCTTATGAAATACTATATTACCATAAAATAGTTCTTCCTGACATTGCTGCTATAAGGAACAGGAAGCTGCCCTGTCCCCCATTTCCTGTCACAGGGGCTTCGATCTATTGTCGTTAGCTAAAAAAAGAGCCCACACATACTTGCTCCAAGCTTGTATATGAGAACAGAGTGGATCAAGCTTATATAGAAGTTATTTGCCCCATATTTACCCCAAAGTGCACAAAAAGAGAGTGCACCCTCCCCATAAATGTTCTGGTACCTTGATCTCCCTCTTCTCCTTTTGGTCTGGTCTCAGCAGATGCACATATAACTAATGTACAAGCATTAGGAACCCATCCTGGCAGAAAAAGCCTTGGAGCAGAGCTGGTGGTTCTCTGCAGAGATGCTCCCCTTACCAATGGAGAAAGTATTAGAAGTATCAGCATTGTCTGGATGTATGGTCTAAAGTGGGGACAGAAACAAGCAACGTCATTAGAAAAGAAGACAACTTAAACTCTGGTCACATGCATACCATACACTGAAAGCACATTTCCAGCACATGGTTTTCCCCAAAGAATCCTGGAAACAGTAGACTGTCACCCACAGAGCAACAGTTCCCAACACTGTTAAGAAACTACAGTTCCCACAATTCTTTTTTAGAGACGTGTGCTCTAAATGTGCTTTAAATTTATGGTGTGGGTGTGACCTTTATCCTAATTAGCAGCTTCTGATTTTAAGAAGGAGATGGACAATATTGGACAGAGAATCGGAACAGATATGGATTTTCAGGATTGTGATTTCAGGTTCTGATCTGGAAAGACAAGGTTCAGCAAACATTGCTTGATGCCCTGTTGAAAGGGGAGAACTAGGGGAAACTGGGACCTTACAAAAGAGCAAGTTGGTGACCCAAAGATTAGAACAAGAGCCCAAAGGTCCTTATGTGTGGCACAAACAGGAAGTACCGCAAAGAATTAATTCATTGCTGAGTCAGGCGAGGTGTGCAGCTTCAGCACCATAGTACACCAGCCTGTTGTGCCAGTCATGTTATAACTTGTGCCACCTGTTTTCTACAGCCTTTACATGGTAAGGTTTGGATAAAGAAAACAAAATTCTAAGTATCTGTAATATGCATCGCTGCTTTCGTCAGCGATGCCCAAGTTTTGGATCCTGAAATCTCCCAATTGCATCCTTTGAGTTCTGTGTGTCAAAGCAAACAGGCTGTGATCCCCCCCCCGCCCCCAGACAAATCATGCTGTCCTACAAGAAACTATTATCACTAGCAATAAGGGTTTACTTCCTACCCCATTCTTGTCCCTGAGTGCTAGCATGGTCAGCTGCAAAAGAGGGCTGGGCTCCTGTAGTTTTAATAGTCGTGCAAAAGTGGTGATTTCAGCAAGTGTAAATTGCATGCCCCTATCAGCTATCAACAACCTCAGGTATGCAGATGACACAACCTTGATGGCAGAAAGTGAGGAGGAATTAAAGAACCTTTTAATAAGGGTGAAAGGGGAGAGTGCAAAATATGGTTTGAAGCTCAACATCAAAAAAACGAAGATCATGGCCACTGGTCCCATCACCTCCTGGCAAACAGAAGGGGAAGAAATGGAGGCAGTGAGAGATTTTACTTTCTTGGGCTCCATGATCACTGCAGATGGTGACAACAGTCACAAAATTAAAAGACGCCTGCTTCTTGGGAGAAAAGCAACGACAAACCTAGACAGCATCTTAAAAAGCAGAGACATCACCTTGCCAATAAAGGTCCGTATAGTTAAAGCTATGGTTTTCCCAGTAGTGATGTATGGAAATGAGAGCTGGACCATAAAGAAGGCTGATCGCCGAAGAATTGATGCTTTTGAATTATGGTGCTGGAGGAGAGTCTTGAGAGTCCCATGGACTGCAAGAAGATCAAACCTCTCCATTCTGAAGGAAATCAGCCCTGAGTGCTCACTGGAAGGACAGATCGTGAAGCTGAGACTCCAATACTTTGGCCACCTCATGAGAAGAGAAGACTCCCTGGAAAAGACCCTGATGTTGGGAAAGATGGAGGGCACAAGGAGAAGGGGACGACAGAGGATGAGATGGTTGGATAATGTTCTCGAAGCTACCAGCATGAGTTTGACCAAACTGCGGGAGGCAGTGGAAGACAGGAGTGCCTGGCGTGCTCTGGTCCATGGGGTCACGAAGAGTCGGACACGACTAAATGACTAAACAACAACATCAGGAACACAAAGGTGAGGAAGCCCTGTCATCTGTTGCATCTGGCCACCCTACAGAATACAGATGTATACTTTCTCCAATCCAAGTGAATGGGTGTGATTCCTTCCTATGCAAAAAAGCCTAACTTCTGCATCTCGGGGAATTGCTGAAGTGATGGTGAAATGCTGCCCTATCTGGGGCCTGGCTGCAACTCCTATGCATGCTTGCATGGGACTAAGTTCCACTGAGCACAGTAGTACCCTCCTTGTACAGAAAGAGTACCAAGAAATATAGCACAGCCTCCTGGGGGCCCTGCAATATATGGTACCTGTTTCCACCTTCCCTTCACTCCCGTTATAATCACAAGCATTTTGCTAATCTATACAGTAATCAAATGCATTTAGAGTATTTCGGTCCAATAAGTCCCTGTTGATTTTAGCACACTGAAAGAATAATATACAATCATTTATACCTGTTAGGATTCTTTGTTTGGTCCATGTTTGGAGTTCATATCAAAAGTCCAGTCCCTTTGTAATTTCCGTTTTGTTCCACAAAAGTCTTAGCAAGACTAATTTAGGAGGCATTCAGAATTCCATTTATAGACCAAGGGTTATGTAACAAGAGCTCATGTTTCTTATGCAAAGCATTTTAACCATAAATATTTTGCTTCACGATCGTCAAACTATCAAAGCAGGTCTGTTGCTTTCAAGTGGGACTTCTCAAGAGCATGGTTTCCGGGTTCCTGCTATAGATGCTGTTAATCCAAGAAAGCGAAACACAAAGAAAGTATTGTCCAGTGGTGGTAAAATACATGCAGAGAACAATGGAGCTTGCCACTTCAAAGTAAACAATTCAAAACAAATTGTTAACTCATTACTGAACAATTTACAGTACTTGTTAAGGAGCAATTACTTAAATCAATCCACTGGTGGTAGCAAGCACATAATATTTGTGGCTTGGTTTTCTGTCTTGGGGGTGCTCCACTAATGGGACTTATAGTCACTTATAGTGGGAGTGTCAGGCAGTAAGCAAGTATTGAGATGATGTATTCCGTGTGATTTCTAAAATTCTGAATTTTACAGTGGTTAAAGACCCAGGCTTGACCTTGTTATCATTATTTTGAGGAGCAAATAAATATATTTTATTTAAGTATTAAAATCCATTTCCTTGGGAGCGGCCCAGATACTGATCACATTCTTATGGAGAAGAGATTGTTAACTGTGTAAAACTGGTTATGGTAGCATTTGGATAGCATTTGCACTTGTAGGCAAACTAACACAACAGTGCTATAGTAGTCAGAGGTGACATTACCAAATATGGTTTTTATGATAACTGGTCTCCACTTCTTTCATTAATTCCTCGTCCAAAGAACCTAGACTACCTTCTGTTTACTGTACGTTTTGGACAGGTATGTTAGACCAAACATCTTGATATTCCAGATTTTCTTTGTTTAGACTGACTCTTTCTAAAGTTTAAAGGTTGTGCTAATTTTATAAGTATGTTGTCATAATCAATACTATATGCTTGGCTTTTGTAGATAACATTCTTTCAAAAGTTTGTAATGAGGATGCACATTTCACATGTATTTCCTCTCTCCCAATGTGATCTTTGGAATGTTTTGATTATTTTATGCCATGCTTACTGTTTCCTAACATTTTGCACTTTTTGAAACAAAAAATTCAAGATCTCTAAGAGCTTTACTGTATAAAGTGAACAATTGTACCCCCATCCCCTTTCTAATATCATCTAAAATATGTGAATATGCACAATATGTACACTGTTAATCTGTTCTCTTGTTTAAACTTACTCAAGTCTTTGGCTCTTTTTCATACACCTCATGCTTGTAGCTCTCTCTAATATTTCTCAATACCTACCATGGAACACAGAACTCCAAATGAGGGACAATGCCAGGATGTTCAAGACTTGAAATCTGAAAATCCTTCAAAATGCTTTCTGAGGGTTGGAATTCCAAAAAGTGTGTGTGTGGGGGGAATTGTTCCAAGGTTCAGAGTTCCAAAAATTCCTGAACTCTTGTTCCAGGGATAAAAATTCCAAAAAAGGTATGACAGCTGGAATTCTGAAAAATGCTGAAAACATGTTTCAATTAATCTGAAAATGCTAAAAAAATAAATAAAAATGATCTGAGGGTTGGAATTCTGAAAATACCGCAAAATGCCTCCTGAGAGTCAAAATTCCAAAAATTCATGGGAAAGTATTCTGCATGTAGCAATTCTGAAAATTTACAAAAGGTTTAAATTCATTGTGATCCGATAAAAGCTGCAAAATCTCTTTTCCCAATGCTGGCTAAGGGCATATATGTTCTCTTAAAAATCATTTATAAGCTGTTAAGCTGAAAAGTTGAAAGAGCAGAAAGAGGGTTGAGCGCCCAGAATATTATTATTATTTTGTGATCAATAAGAAATGCTGTTCTCTTCGTGTCTGTGTTGGGAGGTTTCCCTGCTGTAACCATTGTTTGCTGTACAGTGGTACCTCAGGTTAAGAACTTAATTCGTTCTGGAGGTCTATTCTCAACCTGAAACTGTTCTTAACCTGAGGTACTATTTTAGCTAATGGGGCCTCCTGCTGTTGCTGCTGCACGATTTCTGTTCTCATCCTGAAGCAAAGTTCTTAACCCAAGGTGCTATTTCTGAGTTAGTGGAGTTTGTAACCTGAAGCGTCTGTAACCTGAAGGGTCTGTAACCCAAGGTACCACTGTATTAGTTTATTATTGAACACCCACCTCCGAAAGTGAACTCCATGGGACTTTAGTGGATATTCTTTTCCTTATTTTCCCCCCTTCACCCTGATTTGTATATCATAGAATCATAGAATCATAGAATCATAGAGTTGGAAGAGACCACAAGGGCCATCGAGTCCAACCCCCTGCCAAGCAGGAAACACCATCAGAGCACTCCTGACATATGGTTGTCAAGCCTCTGCTTAAAGACCTCCAAAGAAGGAGACTCCACCACACTCCTTGGCAGCAAATTCCACTGTCGAACAGCTCTTACTGTCAGGAAGTTCTTCCTAATGTTTAGGTGGAATCTTCTTTCTTGTAGTTTGGATCCATTGCTCCGTGTTCGCTTCTCTGGAGCAGCAGAAAACAACCTTTCTCCCTCCTCTATGTGACATCCCTTTATATATTTGAACATGGCTATCATATCACCCCTTAACCTCCTCTTCTCCAGGCTAAACATGCCCAGCTCCCTTAGCCGTTCCTCATAAGGCATCGTTTCCAGGCCTTTGATCATTTTGGTTGCCCTCCTCTGGACACGTTCCAGTTTGTCAGTGTCCTTCTTGAATTGTGGTGCCCAGAACTGGACACAGTACTCCAGGTGAGGTCTGACCAGAGCAGAATACAGTGGCACTATTACTTCCCTTGATCTAGATGCTATACTCCTATTGATGCAGCCTAGAATTGCATTGGCTTTTTTAGCTGCCGCGTCACACTGTTGGCTCATGTCAAGTTTGTGGTCAACCAAGACTCCTAGATCCTTTTCACATGTACTGCTCTCAAGCCAGGTGTCCCCCATTTTGTATTTGTGCCTCTCATTTTTTTTGCCCAAGTGCAATACTTTACATTTCTCCCTGTTAAAATTCATCTTGTTTGTTTTTGCCCAGTTCTCTAAACTGTCAAGGTCGTTTTGAAGTGTGATCCTGTCCTCTGGGGTGTTTGCCACCCCTCCCAGTTTGGTGTCATCTGCAAATTTGATCAGGATGCCCTTGAATAGCTCTTGTAAAGTAACAAACAAGGTGCCTTTATACAGGTGTGTTTCCTTCCAGAACCAACTGCCATGCCTTATCCTGATCTTAATACAGTATTCCTTTCTTTAACCATTATTTGATTTTGTAAATTGATAATCTTATCCATGGCTACATTCTGGCTGGAGAATTGTTTCTCATTATTTATACCCTGTGATATTGTACCGTTCTATGTGCCAAACTATTGGGGGGGTGTGTAATTTTTTTATTTCTGCGGATTTTTCTATGCTTATTGGTTCCTCATTAATGCCCCTTTCCCATATATTAAAGGGAAAACTGTTTCTATCATTTTGTTTTTAGGAAATAGAAGAGCCGAACATGTCCTACTCATGGTCCTCTGACTCTTTTCCTGGGAGTTACATGAATTTTCTTTTACACCTGCTAACTGAAAAGACTGATGTTCTTCAGTGGTTGCAACTTTCTGCTCCAAAGGGAAACAAGAAAGAAAAAGTTGCTTGTTGCTTCTTCCTAGTTGCTTCTTCTTCAACGTAAATGATATTCCTATCAATGGTTCATAATCATGCTCAGGTGTCTTACAGGCCACATGAGGATGAAAAGGGAAAATACTGATATTGCTATGCATTATGCTTAATTTGGATCATTGTGTTTGTCATAAAGTAACAACCCCTCAGATTAAGTGTATGTATATGATCTGATGGTTTGGTTGATATTTGCAGATTAATTTCCTTGAGTTGTGGGTTTAAATGTGTTCCCTACAAACACCAGAATCCCAGTCAGGGCTGTAGCCTGGGAGACATGGGGGGAGTGTAGCCCTGGGTGCATGATTCTGAGGCATGTGAAGCAGATGCCCAATGCAGAGATCCCCATTCTGCCTTGCCTGCCACCAGGGGTCTCTGGGCCCTGGAGCCCAGCCTGGCCTTGCCACCACAACCTTGGCCTCCTCGCTGAATGGCTGCCCGGCCAGTGTTAGGGTGATGCATCCACCAAGGGTTGTCTTGGCTGGCCAGGCTCCCGCTGTGTGGGCAGGCAAGCAGCGCAGTGCAGCCCCGTGAACACTCCATGTCCCGTGCCTAGCAGACAGCATCAGTGGCGAGGGCTGGGCTGGTGCCTAATATAATGCACATTTGTATGTTATTTTCACTGACAAGCATTTCTATGGCCGCTTTACCTTAGTATATCCATTTTTGCACACATTACATGGCCAGAGAACGGCATTGCGAAAGTGCAGGCTTCAATGGGTGGCTTTCTTTTGGATCCTCTCACAGAAGGTAAAGGTAAAGAGACCCCTGACCATTAGGTCCAGTCGTGGCCGACTCTGGGGTTGCGGCGCTCATCTCGCTTTATTGGCCGAGGGAGCTGGCGTACAGCTTCCGGGCCATGTGGCCAGCATGACTAAGCCGCTTCTGGAGAACCAGAGCAGTGCACGGAAACGCCGTTTTACCTCCCCGCCGGAGTGGTACCTATTTATCTACTTGCACTTTGACGCGCTTTTGAACTGCTAGGTTGGCAGGAGCAGGGACCGAGCAACGGGAGCTCACCTCATCACGGGGATTCGAACCGCTGACCTTCTGATCGGCAAGTCCTAGGCTCTGTGGTTTAATGCACAGCACCACCCGCGTCTCTCACAGAAGGTAGGTCCTGCTTAAACCTCAGTTAGAGGATTATTGCTGCTGAAACATTTGAACTCTGTCTTTGTGCACCCTTCAACCTGATCCCTGGGTGAAGCAGTGCCATATAATCTTGCAACTGTTGCCTTACCTCAGCCTAGACCTTGCCCCAGCTCCCCTGTTCTTGCTCTGTTTGCCGAAACCTAGATCCCTACCTGTAGCAAGAACCACCCAACGAAATTGCTCAAAACGGAACAGTTTGCTTCATTGAGTGAAAAAGGATGGTCCCCAAATCACATCAAGAGAGTGGCTGCTCAAGATTGTTCTAAAAGCAACGGAGCTGGGATAGCTCAGTCAGTAGGACACAAGACTCTTATTCTCAGGGTCTTGAGTTTGAGCCCCCCTTTGGGGGCTGCATTGCAATGGGCTGGGCTGGATGACCTTTGTGGCCCCTTCCATTCTGCAATTCTATGAATAGATAAGGAGCAAGATGTGTGTCAGGTGGTGGAGAGGCATGTAATGATAATGAACTGGGGCAGTAAAAACTGTTTCAATAATGGTCAAATATGCCCGCATGTCATTAGCTAATCACATAGGTAAATGCTGTATAAATATCACTCTAAAACAGTAACTTCAAGATAAAATATAGTATGGAAAGTATAGAAACAGTAATGGAACAGCGTATTATTCCAAATGTAGTGAACCTACAAATTCAATGGAACAGTCCAATATACGGTCGTACCTTGGTTGTCAAACGGAATCCATTCTGGAAGTCTGTTCGACTTCCAAAAATGTTTGACAACCAAGGAGCGGCTTCTGATTGGCTGCAGGAAGCTCCTGCAGCCAATTGGAAGCTGCGTCAGATGTTTGGGTTCCAAAGAACGTTCGCAAACTGGAACACTTGCAGCGTTCGGGAGCGAAAATGTTAGAGTCACAAGGCGTTTGGGATCCAAGGTACGACTGTATTATTAGCTTCTTGGCCTCTATACTACCAGCAATCCTATTACTCTTTGGAATTTGGTACACAATGTGACTGAAGTTCTCTAGGTGATTCAGTCAATTAAACAGATATCTGTATATATGAATGATATCTGTATATATGAATGAAAAGGTTCTAAAAATTAGTAAGAAATTATAAGATAGTATACAGTAATTAGTTTAATGTCAAGTTTTGTACAACAGGAAAATAGAAAAGGTAAAGGCATTGGGGGTGGAAATCTTAAGTGTATAAATGTAGGAGTGTATGGTGAATTGTATTATATTTTGAACTGACATTGTTTTGTAATTTTTGTTTTTTCAAAAGACCATATATAATAATGTTATGTTATCAAGTAAATTCAATAAAAAATTTAAAGCAAAAAACAAAACAAAACAGCAAAATTAAAAAACAAACAGATTTTTGAATTCTGCTTTAATATATCTATAAACACCCATAAAGACAGTCAGATCAAAATTCGCACATTATTAACCGAGCCACATTGCATGAGATGTCATTCCATTTGCCATCTGGATACAATTCTATGCAGTCCTCTTCCACCCCATTGGGTTCTTTTGGTGCCCAGTTTGAATATTCCATTGTTTCACCATTAAGATGCTTGAAGATGCCTTCTGTCTCCTGGTCATTCATTCCAAAAAATACTTTTCTTCCCATTTTTGCAGAGAGTTTCAGTGCAGCGGTGTTTTCATTTTCATTCCTTGGAGAAGCAACCTGGCCACCAAAATGGTTACACGTCGCTTTTGAAGTCTCATAATCACCGTCATCTCCATTAGTCACAAATAGTTTCCCTCCTACTCTTGTGCTGTTTGAGAAAATGTAACCTAGAATGGCTAACAGACAATACAATCAAAATTAATTATTTCAAATGTGCTTTCGTCATTAATAGCCCAAATTTAGGACCTGGGCCTGATCCATACAGCAATTGCTGTACATTTAGTTGCTCAAATGAGTGGTTTGGTTGCATTAAGGACTGTGTAATGTCGTTCGGTCCCAGCGCCTGCCAACCTAGCAGTTCGAAAGCACCCCTGGGTGCAAGTAGATAAATAGGGACCGCTTACCAGCGGGAAGGTAAACGGCGTTTCGTGTGCTGCGCTGGCTCACCAGATGCAGCTTGTCACGCTGGCCACGTGACCCGGAAGTGTCTGCGGACAGCACTGGCTCCCGGCCTATAGAGTGAGATGAGCGCACAACCCTAGAGTCTGGCAAGACTGGCCCATACGGGCAGGGGTACCTTTACCTTTACCTTAATGTCAGAGGATGATATTAATGGCAACCCGTACATCTTTCATCAAGGTACACAAACAACTAGCTTACCTTTCTGGGTTTTGCTTGCAGTCAGCTGCAAAGCCTTCAGCTCTCCTTGTAAATCACTGATTTGAGTTTTGAGCAGCTCAAGTTCTAAAAGGCAAAAGGACAGTATTGTTCTTGTTCTGTTTGTGTTAAAGTATAAAAGATTATAAAGGAAGAATCTGCTTCAGAAGTGACAAATCTCAAATCCACCATTGACCTTCTCCCTGCCCCATTCAGTTTCTCATTGTCTTAATTCCAGAAGAGTGTTAGTCTTTGCAGCAAAATCAGCAGTGTCTTGGCAGAACTTAAAGACTAGCAAATGTAATGTCGCATGCATTTTTGTGGTTCAGAAGAGCTCACCTCATCAAATGCATAAAGTTGATAGTGTACACAATGAACCATCCATCAAGGAACAAGGAAACTATTTTCAAACTATAACAAATCAGGTCAGGTCTGGTTCAGAGACTCCACCCACCTCCCTTACCTAACCATAGTGATGTTGAGGCCACAATCATAGCAGGCTGAAAAAAATGGCACCATACTTCCTTGCTCATCGAATCCTAGAACCGTAAAGTTGAAGAGACCACAAGAGTCATCTAGTCCAACCCCCTGCAATGCAGGAATCTTTTGTCCAAGGTGGGACTCAGCCCCACAACCCTCAGATTTAAGAGTCTCATGTTCTACAGGCTGAGCTATCCCAGCTCATGTGTATGTGTATGAATTGGTAGTGTCACATGGGACTTTATATGAGACTGTTTGCTTCCATCAACTAGAATCTGCTTGAATCAATAAATGAAACATTTCTGTTGTTGATTGAAGTAGCAGTTCTAAAGGATCATGGGAGTACAAAGCCTCAGTTTAACCAGACTGATTTTGCAGCTATAATCAATTGGCCATTTTAATTCAGACAGATATCTAAAGCAACTCTAGACTTTAATACACTTATATTTCAATAAAGACATATCCTCTCCCATCGTTTGGAATGTTTTACTTTTCGCATGGAACCACAAAGTTTAGATTCTTATTAGCCTTGTGTATAGAACCCAGACAAATTTCAGTAAAATCTCTTGGCTTGTGTGTGTCTGCAGTTGTCCACATCCCTTACCTTTTCCTCCACAGTCACCTTTCTGACCACTTTCCCCTTTAAGGCCAGGAGGCCCAGCTTTTCCTGGGGGTCCCTGCATTCCTCGTAAACCTGCCATTTACGGTAATCCAATGGATAAACAGAAAAAGATGAACAAATGAGCAACATAATGCATGGGCATTCTTAGGTTATAGTTAAACATATGAATACACCAACAAATAGTTATTTGAAAGGACATTCCGCGGGAAACTGGGGGTCTTCATTGTTGCCCAAGTGTGCTCTGTGTTCCACCTCTTTGGAGGAGAGTGACCAGCAGTCTTTTCTAGTCGTGTTATTTGAGATCCCTTTTTTGTGGAGAACCACAGATGGAACATGGGGCCTCCTCCATGCCAGGTATGTGCTTTGATTTCCTCCTAATACTGAGAGAGCAACCAAGATGATCAAGGGTCTGGAAACCAAGCCTTATAAGGAACAATTGACGGGATTGGGTCTGTTAGCCAGGGAAAGAGGAGACTGAGAGGAGATACGAGAGCCATCTTCAAATATCTCAAGGGCTGTCACATGGAAGATGGAGCAAGCTTGTTTTCTCCTGCTCTGGAGGGTAGGAACTCAAACCAATGGCTTCAAGTTACAAGAAAGGAGATTCCGGCTAAACATCAGGAAGAACTTTCTGACAGTAAGAGTTGTTCAACAGTAGAATGGAATCCCGAGGGAGGATGTGGTCTCTGCTTCATTGGATGGTAATCTGTCATTAAGATTACCGCCTTAAGAGCGGCAAGCCACACCCCCTGAGCCAGCCGATAGGCTGGCCAGGGTATGACGCGGCGGAGGATTCCCCCTGTATGCGTGAGGCTGAGAGCCAGCCTCAGTGCGGGAGTTGGGGGCGGGAAGCCCGCAACCCCGCCTCCTCCCTAGGGTCAGAAATGGCTTTAGTTGAGATCTTTGCATTGCAGGGAGTTGAATATATAGCCCTCAAGGTCCTTTCCAACTTTACAGTTCTATGATTTTATGACTACCATTGGATAACTCTTGGAAATTCCTTATGCCATACCTTGCTCTCCCTTTTCACCTTGAGGACCTTCCTTCCCATCTCTTCCTGGCAGTCCATTGCTCCCAGGGATGCCTGGCAATCCATTGCTTCCAGGAATAACCATGCAGGCTGGCACTTTCTCTTCACAGTTGCATTGCTCCGGATCTGACATTCTCACCGATGACACTCCCAGCACAAGAATGCAGAGGACATGGTGTTGCATTTCTCGATGATGAGATCTAAGGCAAAGCACAACAGCATTTGTATAGTTAGTTGAAGGCGACATCTCTGCCTGGGGCCATGCCAGATAGTACATCTGAGCTTACATAAAGCGAGATGAGCGCCGCAACCCCAGAGTCGTTCACGACTGGACCTAATGGTCAGGGGTCCCTTTACCTTTACATGACTGAATCCTCTTCGCTACAGAGAGTTCCACACACACAGCCAAAAAAGGTCCTCAGTAGTTTTCTCTCACACACCAGGAATTTGTGTATAGGAATCTTTTTTTCTCAGGGGCAAATTCTATCACACACTTGCAGTCTAGTTTGGTTTGGTCTGACTCAGGTTTTGCCACCTCATAACTGGGCCATTGTTATCCTAAGCTAAAGTGGAAACAAGATCTTACAGCGGGGGTCACAGGTTTCAAGTTCTGCAAGGCAAATACTTAAAACATAGATTAGGATCTTCAGATTTCCCAGGCTTATTTGCCACAGTTAGGGTCAAACTAGATGGCATGTTATCCAGTGCTTTATTGCTTGTATGAATGGTTTTTTAAAATAATAAATAGCAAGAGAAGGGTAAACCTGACTTCACCTGTGGTATAGTTTTCAATTCGTGCAAAGAACACATTGCTATTTACTCCCACTGCCCCACCCCAAATCAGAGTGAACATGAGGGGGGTTTTTTGCGGGGGGGGGGGGAGGAGCAGAAATGTGGCAGCAGGTCCTAGCATGTATTACAATGCTCAGGGGACATTAGTCCTCTTCAGGCAATTAGTGTCAAATGTGTGCAGGAGAAAGTGAGCCACTGGTCTTTCTCCGTTGCCCTCCATTACTGGAAGACTGCAGTGGTCGAGCCTGCTCTCACACAGTATTGACATACTAGCAAGCCATTCAATGGTCGGGTACACACCATGTATATAAAGCACATAACTTGTCCCAAAAACTCATGGGAACTGTAGTTTATTAAGGGGTGCTGGGAACTGTAGCTCTTTGAAGGTTAACTAAAGTTTCCAGGATTCTTTGGGTGAAATCATGTGCTTGAAAAGTCCACTGTGTATGCAGCCAATGCCTGTTAGCAGGAAGCACTCTCTGATCCCTGCTAGCAAGAAGTAAAAACCTGCTTGCTCTTTCCATTGCAACAGCTTCATTACAGAGGTGGAGATGTATGTGTATAACAAACTAGGTCAGCAGTTGCAAAACCAGTTAATCATCAGTTTCATTCCTGGAAATGGTTTGGAGTGGTTTCCCCCACAAAATCGAAAGTTTGCTAGATGTTCACCATAGGCAAGGGCAATTGACCTGTGACCCTCCAGGAGTTGCTGGACTTCAGTTCCCATGCTCCCTGATCATTGGCTATGCTGTTTGGGGATGATGAGAGCTGGAGTCCACCTACCTGGCAGGACAACAGGGAGGAGGAAGGGGCTCCTGCTGAGGGGTGTAGCTGGGACTGGGACACATTGGGGCAAGCAGGGGATGGGGATGGAGAGGTTGGTGTAAGAAGTACTTACAGGGTGATGGAGGATGACAAGGGGGTGAGGGTCAGTGCACAGGAACCAAAGCAGCAGGACCCATCACCAGAGCCAGAGGGTCCCCTGTCTCCATGAACTCAGCGAGCTCTGAGACGTTGGGAACAGTGGGAGATGTGCTCTAGGAGGCTGAGGCAGGCAAGGGCCCACAGCCCAGTTCCCAAGCTGGCCAGGTGGGCCTCGCTAGCTCTGGGAGAATGTGTGTGATTCCTCTGCTGGAGTAGGCTTAGAACAGGTGAGGGTCATATTGCTCATCAAGCCCAGGTGCTGCAATCAGTAGGCAAGGCACCAAAGGTAAGCAGAACTGAGGTGCTGTGTCTGCACATATTGAAGGACCTCAGCATGGATGTTCCAGGATTTCCACAGGACTGTGTTTTGGGTTTGACTCTGGACTGTACCCTGATTGCTGGACTTTAGACTTGGCTACTTGGATGGACCCTGAACCTCATTTCCTGACCTTCAGACTTTGGACTTCACTTGTTTGGATTGACCCTTGGACTTTGAGCTTTGGACGTGGCACAGTGACTTGCCTCCAGGTAGGCCAGGGGTTCAGGACACCCCACGGGTGACTGACTGCCCCTTTAGTATATTGGGGGGGGGGATTTGAGAAGCACCGATTTTGATTATTTTATCCCTGCACAAGAGTAAAAGAAATGGATACCTATGAGGACAACTCTAGCTATGTTACAATCAAGGTGGCAGAGTCAAGCAGAAATCTTGATAGGTTTGAATTTCAAACCTTAACCGATGGGATTAATAGGCAGGTCACTCTAGTCTCTTTATTGCCCAATGTTTGACGTGATATTTATCCATGTGGGAAAGGTCGGCTAATCTGATGATACATGTGTGTTAAACTGCTCACCCTGTTCCTGTAAATAAGGAAATTAGTTTTTTAAAGGCCACTGTGAAGTGGGTTGGAGTATATTCTGGGAAATCAAGAGTTCTGACATCTGCCAACGCCAGCAGCTTAGTTGATTCAGATAAAGTATTTATGTACACGAGAACAGAAGGTGTGTGACCCTTATGGGAAATCCATCTAGGGTGGCAAGCCAGATTTTGCCGAGTGTTTACCAACTGGGGCTTGTATAATAGCAATGCCCTGTTAGTCCTCAGGATATAGCAACCAGAGTTTATATGGCTTCAATTATGGCATGACATGGCTAATACCAACTGCTGGGCCTATTTATGTGTGAATTTAGCTACCTCAGGCTTCCTCAAACTCGGCCCTTCAGATGTTTTTGGCCTACAACTCCCATGATTCCTAACTAGCAGGACCAGGGGGAAGGGATGATGGGAATTGTAGTCTCAAAACATCTGTAGGACCGCGTTTGAGGAAGCCTGAGCTATCTCCAGGCTTTCATTTGAACAGGTGAAGTCTCAAACTGCATAGGGGAGAACAGGCACACAGCCCCCCCTACATCCCAGTTTATATCATCATTCCCCCCCCCCCCAAAAAAAATTGGATCTCCAGCTGTTTTAGGGCTACAATTCCCACCATCCCTGACCACTATTCTTGCTAGCTAGGGATGATGGGAGTTGTAGTCTAAAACAGCTGGAGACCCAAGTTTGGGAAACACTGGTTTATACTATTAGTAGCAAAATGGCTCCCATCATGCTAGTTGAGGTGGGGGTGAAGGGAAGGTTTACACACTGTGGCATCCCCAGGGACCTTGTCTGTCCCTGTACAAAGTCACAATGCACTCTGATGTGGGGTCTGTCAGGCCTGGACCATTCAGACTCTAGTGTCCACCTTCCATATTGTATGCCACATTTCCACAGTTCAAACCATGCTCAAGGTGGCTTACAACATTAAAAAAAATCATAAATCTGCAACATAACAACAGTAGTCCTAGACAATAAATAAAGTTAAAAAGCACACAGCCAAACTAAACCATTTCCACAAAAATCACAAGATCTAAAAGATACCAACAAATTAGCAGCAACAACCCACACCCCAACAAAAACAGTTCCCAGCCCAAGAATCGGTTCAGCAGCCTCAGCTTCTGCAGCTGGAGTCAGTCTGAACTCCACCTTCCCAGGACAGGTGGAAAAGGCCTACAAGGCAGGGAACAGATCTTCCAGGACTCATAGCCAAGTTGGTCTCTTCAGGACTTATTCTCATAACAGCCGTGTCCCCCCATGTGACAATTTATTCTTCGCTATGGCAGGGATGGGAAACCTGAGGCCATCCAGATGTTGTTGGACTTCAACTCCCAGCCAGCATGGCCAATACTCAGGGATAATGAGAGTTGGGAGCTCAACAACATTTGGATGGCCACTGGTTCCCCATCAAATGCATCCATAGACTCCACTCGGGTTGGGGTTAAAGATGCTCACTGCCTTTGTTGACCCCAGATGTTCAGTGCCAGGTTTGTTCCTATCTACATAGTGTAGTGCAGGCATAGGCAAACTCTGCCCTCCAGATGTTTTGGGACTACAACTCCCATCATCCCTAGCTAACAGACCAGTGGTCAGGGATGATGGGAACTGTAGTCCCAAAACATCTGGAGGGCAGAGTTTGCCTATGCCTGGTGTAGTGCCACCCTTTCATATGAATGGCTCCGTGCTGATCACTGGCCCAAGTCATACCATTGCCTAAAGTGGAGCCCATCCCAAGGGCCAGCACCTTTACAGATCTTGTTGCACCATTCAGACACCAGTCCCATTTTCCCACTGCTCTTCCCCCACCCTCACTGACCCACCCCAAATTAAGGCTGCTTCCTTCACCCTGCTGAATGCCACTCCTGACACTGATTTTGGCTTCTTGGTCGTGCTAGGTTGTAAGGAAGCGGCTTTTCTAAGAACCGATTGCCAATTGACCTAAATCAGTCAGTGTTAATCCTGACTTGTTTGCTCTCTATATGTATAATGCGTTTGCAGAGCTGAAGCCAAGATGCTCAGCTTCATTTTCCCACCCTCACTCTCATCCATCCAGCAGAGTTATTTATTTTTTGAAACATGATTGCTTTGTTCCTTGTTATTCCTTTATACCCATGCCAGGTATTGATGCAGACTTCCAGTGTCAGGTTTCAAAATCCTGCTGTAGCTTATTTTGTTGCCTGTTTGGGTGCATGACTCAGGAGTAGGGGTAATAAGCTTGGTCAAGCTGGATTTTATAGGAGAGAAATAAAATGAAAACATGTCAGATTTAATCCTTGGGGGTATTGGTAGTTTTGGCAAGTTCAAACTTAGATACATGATATATCAGTCTGTATGAATAGGAGTGTATCTATATGAAAAGAAGTGTCCCGTATGTATTTAACTGTTTAAGAAAATTAGTAAGTGACCACTCACACCACCAGATAGCAAAATAAATAACTATTAGCCAATAGTTGGCAAATACTGCCCCCCCCCCATATTACAATCTATCTTGGACCTGGTCCTCACCAACTGATTGACAAAGTGGAAGTACTGGGAGCCATGGGAGGAAGTTTATAATGTCCTCTTGGGTTTTAGAATACAGAGACAAGGGAAGGTTGAGTGTAGTTGGACATGCAATCACAAATGACTTGAGGGAGGACATCCCAGTGGTGGGTACTACCACTGAGAAGACTCTTTTGTCACTTTTGTCACTGTCTGCTGGTTATGAAATGACCACTAGGGTCTCTTTGGAAGATCTTAAAGATTGGATTGTTCTGCACCAGGGTAGGTAAGCTGTTGTAATACATGGGGTTCCTAGGTAGTCTCCCAACCTGGTGTTGATCAAACTCAGACCTGCTTAGCTCCATCATGTTCCCCCAGGCCATGCCCTGGGCTCAAAGTCTATGGCATGGCTCAAGGCCCCACTGTTCTTTCACCAGGGAGTACAGCCCACCTTGAAATACGAACCTCTACTTTCCCTGCGACCCCTCTTTTAACTCTGCCAAAAGTGATTAAGATTTTGGCACAGCAGCAACACAGCAGATTAAAAGGGTATTAACATTGGAGGTTAGTTTGTGAAAAGTCATGATTTATACAACAGTGAAGGAAAAATTACTACCTTACCTTCTGCAGATCCACTCCGAGTATGACCTAGCAAAATCTGATTACAGGACCTCCCAGCCCCATATCACTTAAAAGTGGTTTACGGCCTGTTGGATCCACCCACTCTCTACCTTCTTGTGGGAATTGCATCTCCTGACCCTACCCCCATGTACAAAATATGTAGCAATGGTTCTCAGGTGAAGAAAAGTCCAGATGAAGCAAGAACTATCTGGGGAAACTGCCAATATATCATTGCTGACAAGTTGCTATTTGTCAAAGCAAATACCCCCCCCCCCCCATTTTTAAAGCACAACATTACACAACAGTGTTGCAACATAATATGGCTTTCGCTGCTACTAAAAAGACAATTTTCACTTGAGGGAACGTTGGATTCAGAACTAAATCAAACAAACCAAAGGTATTTCTGTATATCTTTTATTTTAATCTTGCACACTCTTTTGTTAACTTATACAAGGAAACCCAGTTGGAAAGGATGGGACTCGACAGCGCCATCTGGTGCCATAGTGTTATATCGCATATACAACGCATATAAAACACCTTTTTTACCAATCTAGCTGAGTCCTTAGTTTGCAAGTTTTATTCTGCACCCACTACTTCAATTTTGGTAGAATTTGAGCACGAAGTTGGCAAAAGTCAACTTTCCCTGCATCTGAAGTAGTAAAATAGTTACCACTTCATGGGGTCATTTAAAAAAAAAATTCCTCCATCCTTTCTTTTTAAAAATCCATACAAGTAGAAAACGAGAACATTAGGGAGAAGGCAAAGTGGGTGGTACCCGCTTAGCACAGTTTTTGCAATATTGTGAGTCGCATTAGTGCAAATGTATAGATACATTTTTGCCAACTGGTAGTCTCAAGTGCCCCTATTTCCAGGGACAGTCCCAGATTACAGAAGCTGTCCTGGTTTCTGATTTGATCCCAGAATATCCTGCTTCTCTTTAGGAGTTCCCTATTTTCATTGGAGTAATGTTAAAAGGTATGTAGTCTTTGAAGGTGTTGGGGAAGGATTCTGTAACAGTGAACACAGTGACACCAGCTCTCCCAGTGCCAGGTTTTCTGCTACTGCCTGTGTGGCTATTTGTGCCACATATTTAAAGTAACAAAAATTAAATGAGAAGAAGCAGAGGTGCGTGGCTCTGTGCACGTAGGACACTGTATTGTACACACCTGCATAAGTACACATTTGGAATATCCCTGGGGGAAATGCAAAAGAAAAATGTTGTTCCATAACAACTGGAACAATAATGAGGGGAAGTTGGTGAAGTACCTGAGATTTCAGAAAGTGAAAGGCCAGGAAATGGTGGAAATCAATGCCAAAAATGGAGGAGGGACAGAAAGATTTCCCAACTGATTCTGCAGGTTAAGTCACTCCCAGTGTTCAGAGGTCATAAATCAGGTTAGGGAAAAACAATACTGGAATGAACAAGTGGAAATCGCAGATGGAATGAGCAAGTGGAAATGCATGGGTTTGCTATTGCGTTGTGTGGCTTCAGAGTGAGGAGCAAGATGGTACCGTAATGAGCAAACAGGCTAGTGTGGGTTGTGTCTCTTGAAATGGATGCCTGAGTTGCGTAAAAAGAGGACTATGTCAAAATACAGACAGAGTGGAGGAGATGGTTTCTTGCTTTGTACAGGAACTGGGGGCCAGTGGATAGTCCCCATTCCCTAACAGGTTTCGCACTGGATATTCCCAAATACGATCAGAGATCTTGCATATCTTGCGACTGGGCAGAAGTTGGCAGCCAAGATTAAAACTCGCACACTATTAACCGTCTTTCTGTGCAGGACTTGTCATTCCACTTGCCATCCTGAAATATTTCAATGCAGTCCTCCTTCCCGCCAGCATTGTTTGGCTCTTCGCTTGCCCAGTTGGTGTAATTGACTTCATTGCCGTCCAGGTGGGCAAACGTGCCTTCTGACTGCAAGTCGTTCATTCCCAGATAAGCTGCCTTGTTGTGACGAGCAACTATTTGCTGGATGGCTGCGTTCTCTGCAGAATACCTCGGAGAAGCAAGCAGACCACCGGCCTGGAAGCAGGTCGCTTTGGCTGCCTCAAAGCTGCCTTGGGAGCCGTCGGTTTTGAATAGCTTCTCACCAACACTTCGGCCATTTGGGAATAAATGAGCTAGAGGAATAGAGAATCAGTTACAGCTGCGTTAAGTTTTGGCTTCGTTGAATGGTACTTGATTAGTTATTCCTCCTCCTTGTAGTGAAAGGCAGTCTGGGAAGGTTGTACAAACGGAAGCTCTAGGATGGGCTCTAGATTAAGCAAAAAATGCTATGATCCCTGATCCTTTTAAGAGGATATAGCAGGGATTGCACTTGGGGTCTTCTGCAATGAGAAGCAATGAGAAGGTATGGTCTGATCCCTTTACTGGAAAAGGATTAAACACATCCTTCTTCCACACCAACTTGCATCTTGCAAGTTGAAAGAATCACAGAACTTGATGGAAAATGTATTTTGAGCTTACATTTTAGCTAGCTAATGGGTGGCACTCTACCACTTTTGTTGATTCATGCTGATGCTTAGTTTATTAAGATGAAGTTTGGGTAGTGTCTTTTAGTTTGAACCTTACGAGTTCACATTGATACTTAAGTAATCTTTAGTGTGGGGACTTATCAGAGTGCACTGTCTCTCTGCTGGTTTGAAATGCCCTTAGGAAATGTAAACCACTGTTGTTAGAACAGCTGCTAAACCTGCTGTGACTTTAACTATATAATTATGTACAAATATGAATGGGAATCAGGTTTGTCATAAATCATACAATTAATGCTTTGGTCATATGAAGCTTAGCAGTTCTTCCTGTGTCTAATCCCCACGTCCAAAGTCAGAATCAGGTTTAATTCAAAGCTAGCAAATCAGAACTAACAGCCTTATTAGCAATGTAAAGCCAACATAGTTACCATTTTAGACAGTAGGGGCCCTCCCTCAGCTGGCAGTTCAACTTTCAAATAAAATAAAGTAACACCACAGTGAAGAATTTGTTAGCAGCTGTGTGTTTGTTGTGGCGTGACAGACAGTGCATTCAACTGCCCAAACCCACCTTCAGGGCTGTTTTAGATACAGTCAGTAGCAGGGCCGGATTTAGGTAAGCTACTGAAGGTAATGGGACCTTTTATATGTTCAGCTGTCCTTTGTCAACAACAAATTGTCACTGGTTTTTTGTGTTGAATATATGCTATATGGTAATTTATGGACCTAATAGATATCTAAAGCCATTTGTACATAACAAAATATGTATTTTATCAAAGTACTGTAATTGTTGAACTGAAATACAATTAAGAAGTTTATCTTACATTTTCGAAATGTACATCCAGTTTTTTTCTTTTAATTTTTGGGGGACCCCCAAGAGAGTAGGGTCCTAAGCTAGAGCTTGTTTAGCTTATAGATAAATCCGGCACTGAGTAGGATCAGCTGAGCTTCCTTCCTAACAAACTAATCTATACAGAAGGAGATTGTTTTGCCCTTTTGGTTGGGGAACCTTCAGACATGCAACCCTGCCCTTGCCACTTGAAGTGGTACAGTCCTGAGAAAGCTTACAATCTGTTGATTTTATAAATTATCTCTCAGAGCTTTAACTCCAAGAGCCAGAGCAGCTGGATTTAGGCTGCACCATCATATTAAAATCAACATGTAGGTCCCTCTGCAGGACACTTGATAGATAACTTCATGCATTTCGCAGAAAATGATATCTGATATCCACATTCTCGCTAGTCCACTCCATTTTCTCACCATTTTGGTTCCTGAGCATAGCGTTTCTCAGAGCCTCCACTTGTTCTTTCAAACGGGCCACTTCAGATTCCAGTTGCTGAAGTTCTAAATGATGTAACAATAAAGACAAAATTCTTAATATTGAGATGTAAAGCATATACTGAGAAAAGCATGACAATGAGAGGAACCACCTCTGTGATAAGCCACAAGTGCAACGTCAAAAACCTCTGGATTCTCTGCCTCTGCTTCTCAGGTTTTGAAAAAGTACTTTAATAAACACAGCAAGTAATGCAGTTCAGAAGTCAAAGCTGCTGATTTAAAAACAAGTCAGTGACCCTCAGTTGTCTAACAAAACTATTTTTGCCTAGATTCAGCTGGGCAGGAGAGGAAATTGTTTGGTTCACATTTTCATGCAAGCCTACCTGATTAACATCTCCAAAACCCACACACTAACCAAAACTGGAATCCTATCAATCAGCTGTCCCAGAGCTGCTGATTGAGGCCACTTCCACTAAATAATTTGTTCTCAGTAGGATTCTGGTTTCTCTTTATTCTATTTATTTAGTAAACTTTTCCAAAAACACTAATTGGAGTCAAAATTGAAGCAAAATGGGTACAATGGGTGAGTATGATCAGGCTTAAGTCAGCTCAATAAATAGATTCCAGTTTGTTTGTTTGTTTTTAAAAAGGACTATGGGAATGCAGTCCCGGCTGCTTTGTGCAAATGCTGCAAATCACTACCACCACCTATTAGGAACTTGGACCCACATATCTTGTTTGAGATGTGATTGTTCTCACCCTGATTGGGGCACAGGTAAAGGATTTTGCCAATGTGGTTTCTCTAACAGCATTCTTATGGAAACATGATACTATATCAGGCATTGGCAAACTCGACCCTTCAGATGTTTTGGGACTACAACTTCCATCATCCTTAGCGAACAGGACCAGTGGTCAAGGATGATGGGAATTGTAGTCCCAAAACATCTGGAGGGCCGAGTTTGCCTATGCCTGTACTATATCCACCAAGTATGCTGTTATAGGAATGACATAGATGGAGGCATTTAGGAAGACTTCCTAATAGGTGTAGGACGAACTGCATCAGCAACTGAGTACCTATAGAGAGGGGAGTCTTAAACTACTGACATTATTGTTGTATAATGAGCAAAAAAGCCAACCATTATTCCAAACTGACTGGCATAAAGCCTATTGTGAGCATTTCTTGGTGACACTGGGGGAAATACAGTGTGGTCAAGTCTTGGAGCCCCTGACCATGGGAATGCTCCTTTTATAGGTTTACAAAATGTGTACACTTAGAATTTTTTGAAACTGAAACAACTAGGTGACCCTGGTCTACCTAGGTCTTTGTACTGACAACCCTCTTCTTTCAGTGACGGATGCTTCTGTGGTGCAATGGGTCGGTGCGTCTGGCTGTTTACTGGGAAGGTTGGTGGTTTGAGTCCACTCAGGGATTGCTGTGGGCAGGATCCCTGTATTGCAGGGGGTTGGACTAGATGACCCTTGGGGTCCCTTCCATCTCTACAATTCTATTATGAGTTTATCAGATCAGGCTTTCCAGAGTCAGGTTTTTTGAAGAGTCATCAGGAAGTGGCTTTTCCCCTTTTGGGTTGTTTTTGTTCTTTGGTCATTTGTTACTAGTTGGTTTAAATGTGCCCTCTTGTGGTATAATAGAGATATAACCAAAATAAATGTGCAGTTAGTTTAGAAGTGATGGATTTTCTCATCAGTTGTCACAGGGAAACGTCGCCACAAAGTGAGATCGTTCTCTGTAATTATTTGTCAGAATAAACGTGCTCCCTCACGGTGCAGATACAGCCACAGAAAAGGCAATGTTTGTTTGCTTTAGGTGAAATTATATCTAGATTTCAGGTGGCTGTAACTTTACTACTACCTGGTGAAGGAAAGTGAAACCATTGAGATGATGCCTTGTACTTTGCAAATACTCTTACGTGAAAGCAGGTTGCATTCAGCGGTTGTCTCTTCAGTGCCCAGTATGATTTGTCCACCAGAGAAGAAAGATGGCAGATTAGCAGGTAGCTAATCTATGAATGGGATGCGGGTGGCGCTGTGGGTTAAACCACAGAGCCTAGGACTTGCCGATCAGAAGGTTGGCGGTTCGAATCCCTGTGACGGGGTGAGCTCCCGTTGCTTAGTCCCTCCTCCTGCCAACCTAGCAGTTCGAAAGCACGTCAAAGTGCAAGTAGATAAATAGGTACCACTCTGGCGGGAAGGTAAACGGCGTTTCCGTGCGCTGCTCTGGTTCGCCAGAAGCGGCTTAGTCATGCTGGCCACATGACCCGGAAGCTGTACGCTGGCTCCCTCAGCCAATAAAGCGAGATGAGCACCGCAACCCCAGAGTCGGTCACGACTGGACCTAATGGTCAGGGGTTCCTTTACCTTTACTTTAATCTATGAATAGGCGCCTACCTCTTGCTCCATGGTCTCCCTTTGGTCCTCTTTCACCTACTAGACCCCGATCTCCTTTATCGCCTTGAGGCCCAGCTTTTCCTGGAGGTCCCTGAATTCCTTGGGGTCCTAGAAATCAAGGGATTAAATGAACAGCAAGAAACATGAGGAATAACAGGAAGTAAGAAATACGAGTCCATGTTCATGTTCTACAAGAACATCTGTTGCATGGACAAACTTTTAGATCCCGATCAAACCTTGAGCAGCCAGCCCAATTCTGGTGGTGATCCACTCATACTTCAGCATCAAATACAAAAATACTTGTTTTGAAAAGTTCTGACTAATGGCTAATGGCTTATTTTACACTGAGCCACAAAGCTCACCTCAGATTGCCTTATTGTAAGAATCGGCAGCCGTATCCCATCCCATCAGGCCTACCATTGATTCCCTAGATACCAAACCAAAGCCAAGAGGGGTATCTCCAAAAAGTGACAATTAGGATAGCGTCAGGGGTGGCAGAAATGACAGGGTCCGGTTTGGAGACACACACGCAGTGGTAGCATCCCAATGCTGGTCACTTTGCTCCCTCCTCAGAATGTTTCCCAGTCGTGGTCCCTCCCCTCTTGCTCCAATTCTAAGGTGACGTGGTAGAGTACAAACACAGGCAGGCAATGATCTGGAATTTAAAATGGCCGACTGCGCTGCAGAGCTCCACCAGGCGATGGGCCTTTTAAAGCAGTGCTGCCTAGTTGGGCAGGGCAGGGGCCAATGTCCAGATGTCCAGCAAGTTTCTGCCCTGGCGAAGCAGCCGCTGGCTGGGCTGCCACGGTCTTCAACTCTGATGGGTATCTGCCCCCATTCCCAGGGCATAGGGGCTGGTCAGTGTGTGCGGTGGGGTAAAGAGGCTGGAGTGCAAGGGGCCATAAACGTCGCCCCCGGGAAGGCAATGAGCAGCCATTGCTGACCAAGGTCCTTACTACAAAACAGTCCTCTTTTTAGGATTGAAGTTGTTGAGCATTTTTTAGGATTTTACCCTAGGAAATAAATTGCCACAGGGGCCGGATTAAACTGACCGGCGGGCCAGATTAGGCCCCCAAAACAGACTTTGGACATGCCTGCACTAAGCCCACCCCTGACAAGTCTTTGTAACTTTACCTTGATCACCCTTCTCTCCTGCGGGACCCGGCAATCCATTGCTCCCAGGCATTCCAAGAATGAAAGGGCACGTGTTGTCCTTGCCTGCAGTGGGGATTGTGCTTTGTGAGAATGCCGCCGGCAAGATAAGGAAGCCAAAAGTCCAAAGGAATCCCATGCCTAGAAAGTTGATTTTAGAAGAATGCATGTATAGCCTTTTCAGCATGATCCATTGCCGTTTTTACAAAGAACAGTTCTAAAGTGATCCCAGTAAAACAGTTGTGTGAAATGATGATTTTGTTAGTCTTGAATGGAAAAAATGTTATATGTAAGATATAATTTCAGGTACATTTGAGTCAATTGGCAAATGCACATAAAGAGTAGTAACTGAGCATATTTGAATAAAGGCTCAGGAAACGTGTATCAATAGCACCAACAGGAGGTTTTGTACACTGGATGCTCAACACGGCATAGCCTCCCTGTAAATTTTGCACACATGTTGCACAACATGGAGAGTTTCAACTAGGGATGGCCAATTCTGCATGTGTTCATTCATAAATCTGTTCCATCCCATTTCTACTTTAAGATGTGACTTTCTAAAAAAGAGATCACACACACACACAAACACACACACACACACACACACAACATTTTTAAATACTTCCTTCATCTCAACATATGGATTTGTAGTTGCATTTTATGCTAAAATACATGTTTTATAATCCATTGTGGTGAAAAAAATTAGCAAAACATAAGAAATAAGTAATATTCCAAAATAACAATTACATAACAAATGCATCTGAACTATATAACCATGCACGATAACAGCAAATCTCAAGGGGGGGGGCTAACTGGGGCTTTAACCCTTTGCCCCCCAATACGTTACCAGTTTGGATCCTCTCACAGCTGTCATTTGTATTGAAAGGAAAACCTATATTGGTGCGAACAGGAGCTTTTCTAGTGCAAACAGCAAGCACAAACCTCTGATTTGGATGGGGACCATAGCGGGCCCCTCTAAAAGGCTGAAGCCCCCCTAACCAGTTTGTGATCTGAAACCTTCCCTGAAATTATTTGGTTTAGGAAGCCATTCACATTTGTGAATAGTGTTTCACCTACCTACGTTCTGATTTGCAGCAGTCTGAAACAGTTTAAGAGAGAAACCCCCTTGCTCTGCTTCCTTCTCAAACCTGGGTTGCCAGGTGTTCTGGAAGTATAACTCCCTTCTCAAACCTGGGTTGCCAGGTGTTCTGGAAGTATAACTCCCATCCTCTCTGACCACTGGCCATGCCAACTAGGTTGTAGTCCAACAACATCTAGGGACCGACCCAAAGTTGAGAAGGGCTGTCCTAGAGGTTGCCCCAATACCTATAACTGAAGGTGCTGTGGACGGAACCTGTACTTATAACCTAATGTGCTTATATACAAAATTGGCTTTAAAATGTCGTAGGGAAAATGACAGTTGGGGGATCTTGAGGTGGAATTATGAAACTAATTGTGGTCAGAAAAACCTCAACCTTCTCTGAAAATGAAATTAGAAAATGAAAATAACAAGATATATAAATGATGAGGGAGTGCATTGGTTCAAAACCATATTAAAAAGATGTTATAGGTTCTGTTAGCAGAGGGAAGATGGAGCAACAGCTGCCAGGAAGAACACTGCAAGATTTCTTCTCAGGCAAGTCATAGAAAACCCATCCTCAAATGAATTTATTATTATTTTTTGAAGAGGCACCCCTCCTGTGTGAGAGTTTTCTCAGGATAGGTTTAGTGGCCACAATTTTTTATAAGTGCTTGTATTAATCATCCTTGACGTTTAAAAGGTCTTGAAAAATATTTTAATCTAACCAATTAACCAACTAAGGCTGTACTCCTATACCACTCTCTCTCTAGTGTTCTGTCTCTCTCTCTCTCTCTCTCTCTCTCTCTAGTGTACAGGCACAGAAAAGGTTCCTGTTTTCAGGATCACACTTACCTTCTTCAAGTCCAAATTTTGTTTCAATATTGGTGGCACCCCAGCGTTCTCTGTGTTTATCTCTCAAGTGAGAATATTCTCTCTCTTTTTTCTTCTCCCACCCACTGTGTTTATCAGATTAAATTCCATGGAGCAAAGTTCAAGTCCCCACCCACTCCAGACAACAGACAGTCTGGAGCTTCTACAATGTAAGATAGGGTGGGTTTTGGGTCATCCCTCCCAAGTTGTTGACCTTTGAGAATACATTTTGCAGCGGCGTTTTGTTAAAAAAAATAACGTACGATTCGCATGTCATTCCATAAATCAATAAGATGATTGCAGTAGTGTAGTGTAGCCTAGTGTAGACTTTGGGGCGGGGCCCACCTCAGCATTGAAAAAGAGACAAGTTCATAGATGAGCTGAACAGAGGCAGCAAGTGTGGAGGTGCGCTGGGTCACATACAGTGGTACCTCAGGTTAAGTACTTAATTTGTTCCGGAGGTCTGTTCTTAACCTGAAACTGTTCTTAACCTAAAGCACCACTTTAGCTAATGGGGCCTCCTGCTGCTGCCACCGCGCCGCTGGAGCACGATTTCTGTTCTCATCCTGAAGCAAAGTTCTTAACCCGAGGTACTATTGCTGGGTTAGCGGAGTCTGTAACCTGAAGCGTATGTAACCTGAAGCGTATGTAACCTGAGGTACCACTGTATTGGTAGCCAGCATGGTTCACGACCTGCTGTTCCTCAACCATTGTTTCATGTAGTTCTTTTGTTCCATTCACAGGAAAAACTATTTTAGTAGTGTGCCAGTAAATATTGCCTCTGAGAGTGATGAGTGCCTTTCTCACATCAATGAACCTCCAAGCACCTTTTTAAGATGCACTGTAGGAATGGGGCTTCAGAGGACTCATCTGAAGCTTGGCCATGTATTTTCATCCCCACCCACAGCACCATCCATGTTGTTCCCTGCCACGGGTCTTCATTTTGCTCTGAGGGCTTATGCTGGAGTGCCTCAGGAAGTGTTGGCCCCCTGCTCTTGCCTTGAGGTGGCAAGTGACCTAATGGTCATCCCAGGGACTTGATCTAGAACCTTCTCTGGTGGCTTCCATCTGACACGGCAGGTTTCCACCACTCGGCACATCCCCGTGCTGCCAGATGATGGCTGTTGTCTCTCGCACTTCTGCCAAGCAATCTTCCACCCACCTCTCGTGTATGGGGTAGGTTTGGGGGGGGGGGAAATTCATTGGCTTTGTTGAAATTACTTGATTCATATTTGCTCCACTTCAGACAGCAGAATCTGACACAACTGGTCACCAAGCAGCTCAAAGTTTTGATGGCAGCCCTAGTGAAGGAGGTTTAAGAATTGAAAGCAAATTTCAAGAAAATCACTTGATGCAACTTTTGCTTGACTCTACCATTTCAGTCCATGTGAAGGGGGATAGCACATGATGCTCCCCAACTAAAAATGCTCTTTTGCAAAGACAACAGTAGAAGTTGCTGGAAAGCACACAGGTAGTGTAATTTATTTTGTTAAGAAGGAACCACCACCACCACATTAGCAAAGGTGAATAAATCGTTAAAAAAAGAAAAAAGATGTCATATTGGCCAGATTGCTAAAGCAGAATAAATTTTGTTCAGTATTTGAACTACATTTCCAGTCAATATTTGTTTTGGAGAAGGGCAAGTTAGCTTATCTTAAAACACCATCTAGAAACACAGTGAGAGATGTTTGATTTACTGTGGTCAAGGCTGTACAGCTTTTGCCTTGCAATCATACATGTATAACTTACTAACGATGCCCTAATATCAGAAGATTGTTCATGTGTTCAGAAGAAGACCCAAGCGTGTATAGTATGTTTCATGTTACAGCCTATAGTTGCAAAATATTTTCTCAACTGAGGTCATTTCCAAGATACCTACATATTGAGCATTCATCCTGATTTGTTTGCAGGGAGGTAAGATGATATCCTCTATTAACTAAGCAAAACTTGGTACACTACTACCCAAAATTTCCAACCCCAGCCATTGTCGTTTGGCTGAGTATGAACCATTAGCACAAATCCTTGTTATGTCCAATTCCACCCAGTTTATTTTTCATCAGCAGAAATATAACCAGCATGAATTATAGTGCAAGCGAGTCAGAAAGTGAAATCTATCTGGATGCAGAGAATCTTGTGCAAGTTTTTGGGGAAAATGATGAACCATTGTGGAATTTAATATGTGTATGTCTTTCCAACGTTTGCCCAAATGTGCATCACACAATGGAATAGAAAGGCAGCATTGTTTACCACATTCTGGTGTACATCCTATTGGAAGCAATGGCGTAGCTGGTCAGTTTACATGTTTGGGTGTGAATACCAATGAGGATCTGATTTGCACAAGTGGTAGACCATGAGGCAGAACAGTGGAAAGCAGGTTCTGGCCAGCCCTCGTTAGTTAAATGATTCAGTACTTTCTAACCCATCTCTACCTCAGATAAATGCTCCTAGGAATGCTTACTCATATGATGAAAATACTTCTGTTTGCTCCAAGAAAATCTCTTTTAATAAACAGTTTTGAAAATATAAATATAAAAATATCCTGTGCATGTAAAAATCCCCCCACCCGCATCAAAAGCAATGCACCCCACTTAGAAAAAAACAAAACACCCACAAACCATTTTCAACTTCAGATTTACAAGAAAGACCTTACATTTCATTCTGAATGTGTGTCTTAAGCGGAAAACGGATCATGATTTATTGATATAAGTCCATCAATCTACATAGTACACAAGCAAGAAGAAAGGTCCTGCCCGAAGGAGCTTCCTTTCCCGCTCCTCTCCTCCCAGGCAAATTCCACAAAATGCCCTTACAACTCAGTTAAAAACAGTTGAAACACTAAAAAAATAAAATCAAAAAGGATATATTTTTTAAAAAAATTAAAAGCAATTTAAAAGAAGCCCTCTCTGCTGAGCAGCAGCAGCAGCAGCAGCAGCAGCAGCAGCAGCAGTAGCAGTCCTTATAAAACCTGTCAGGTCCGCCCTGGCCCAATAGCTATGTTATGTGTGCACATATGTCAATAGACTGAAACAAAAAAGGATTAACAAAATAATGATTAATGTCTACAGATAAAAAGCAAACACAGTATTGAAGCTTGTGGCCGGGTCGAGCTTTTTCTTTTTTCTTTTTTGGAACAGATGGCCTAAAATTCACAGAGTATTAGCCTCTTTTCCCCGCAGGCCCGGTCGTTCCACTTTCCATTCACATAAACCTCTACACAGTTCTCCCTGCCCTTTTCGTTATTGGGTTCTCCCTGTAGCCAGTTGGAGTAAACGATGGCATCGCCATTCAGGTACCTAAATTTCCCCTCCGTCTGGATATCAGTTACCCCAAGAAAGACCGACTTGTTATGCTGAACAACTATCTGTTGGACGGCTGTGTTCTCCGCAGCATTTTTGGGGGCGGCCAGCTGGCCCCCGGCTTGCAGACACTTTTGCTTCAGGTCATCAAAGGTGCCTTCGTAGCCACTGGTTACGAATACTTTGTTACCGACAATTCGCCCTCCCGGGAATGCTGCAACTAAAACAAACAAAGGGAGTGGGCGTCAGGTTGATAGTCAGCCACTGTGTTTTGCGAAGCCAATAAATGGATGGCAACCTCTGCTATTTGTAACCCATAGAAATCTTGGATTTGGATAATGCTTTTAGCAACAAGATGATTAATGCCATCCTATGTAGAAACCACAGAGACTACGGCTTGCTGATCAGAAGGTCGGCGGTTTGAATCCCCGCAACGGGGTGAGCTCCCGTTGCTCAGTCCCTGCTCCTGCCCACCTAGCAGTTCGAAAGCACGTCAAAGTGCAAGTAGATAAATAGGTACCGCTCCGGTGGGAAGGTAAACGCCGTTTCCGTTCACTGCTCTGGTTCACCAGAAGCAGCTTAGTCATGCTGGCCACATGACCCAGAAGCTGTACATCGGCTCCCTTGGCCAATAAAGCGAGATGAGCACTGCAACCCCAGAGTCGGCCACAACTGGACCTAATGGTCAGGGGCCCCTTTACCTTTACTGTCCCTTTATATAGAATCAAGAGAACCCTCATAGCACCTTAGCTGTGGCCACAAAGGTGACAATTGAAAATTGATGGTGCACCTGGCTCTGGCCAGGCTACAGCACATTCAAAAGAATATTTTCTTCACTGAATTTTCAAAATGTTCGGAAAACGCTGCAAAAGACTAGGGATAACCTACACAATTTATCCCTGTGCTTATTGAGCTTGTGCTGCAGTCATAATCTTGCAAAGACAATGTTGCTGCTGGTTCTCTAATGCTACAACAGGGGGATGATGCATGCATATGCTGGAATCTAAGGGTTACAATGAACATCCCTGTGCTATCACATATAATGTGCCCATAGACCTGTGTGTTGGTACTGGTTCTTTGTTAAGGGGCCAAACGGACCAAGAAAGATTGCAAAAGATGGTTCACAATGTTTCTGTTACATGCAACATTTACCTTTTTGATATTTGGAGAAACTGGCTTGCAAGGCTCTTAGCTGCCCCTCTAGGTCACTGACTTGTTTTTTCATAAGGTTGACCTCTGAGAAATAATAAAATGATCATGATCTGCAAGATTTAGTACTGTAGTAATATGCGGTAAACAATATATTGCACACAGTATGGATGTGAAACATTTTGTTAAACCAAATGCCACCCCGTCTCTCCAACTTCCACCCACCCAGGAACAGTAAAAATTGCCAGGCAATCCAAATGGCACAACACAATAAACATGTTGTTGTCACAGTCAATCAATTGCTGCCATAATTAATACATTCATCATTCATTCGTTAATTCTATGGAAATTTAAATAATATGCTATATTTGGTACATAATCTCAGTGTAGAATCAAATGGAAATGAATTTGTACATTAGTGAATATTGGGTGGTGATCTCTTACTAGGTCTGTTTTGCTTGTGTGTTGGTGTATGCATGTGTGTATTAATGGTATGAATTAATTATACGATTAATGGTTCAGTGGTATTAATGTGCATCAAGGGTAAACGTTTGCCCTTTTTTGAAAGAAGCCTTTGTTTATACAGATACATGTATCC